TCTGATATCTGCACCACGCTGTAATGAACGGGGTATAGTTTATACCGATATTATTGTATTTTTTTTTATGGGTGAAAATGGTATGGTGCGCTAACGAGATACGTTGGCGGAGAACCAGTGAAGGGTGATAGATGAGAATGAAAACAGGCCAGTTAGCCCATCATGATGAATTCATCAGGAGGAGGATGATAGTTTTTAGGAAGAACCGCGTGGAGGTCGACCTGGTTGGGTATATTGCTAGCAATAGGATTCTCAGCCTCCATTACTAACAATCCCCTTCCCCCCGATATTATTGTATTAGTATTTGTATATACATTTGCTTTCAAGCAATATTCTTCAATGTTGTTTACAACACTGTGTGTTCAAAACAATCGTTAGCGATAGAAATACATACATACATATGAATATATTAACAAAATTGGAGTACCTACATGTAAATTAAAGAGGGCGCCCTCGTAAAAGCCATCTGAATATTACTGAGGCCACTTTGTTGATGAATATTTATTTAAAAATGTTGACATGGTCAGATTAAAATTCGGAATGTGGCTTTTTTATTGAAATAAAATGGCCAGAAAGGCATATCTTAGTGTTCAACGACGACATATCAAGAGGGGCACCACGTTACAGTGTATTCTAGAATATCTATATATAATGCTGTTCATGACTAAATACTGGTTACCACTTTTTATCTGTTATGTTATAAATAACACTAAACTAGTAGTTAGGTCGTCAACCATATGCCAACCTATGTTACGTAAAAAAAATACCTGCCAGAGACGTATGAATGTAGTCCCTTAATAATAAATATTAAAGCTCAAATCATGCCTAGATTTTTGAAGGTCAACTATACATGGCCACACTAAATTAGTCACTAATTAAGCAGAGTGGCTTACGACCACTGATACACAAAAAGTGGCAAGATTCACGTTCCCACACGATCCTATAAAAAATATAACTAATGATCGCTCAAATGGATGGAGTCGATTGCCTACTGTAAACATAAAATTCCGCGTCTAGATATTAAAATTTTTATAAAATTTATAACAACATTTCGCCACATTTAACTATGCTTATCACTGGCTGGTTAGAAATAAATGCATAATTAGATTAAATGCGCTCTATTCAGTTCCGTTTTTAAATCTGTGATTTTGTGTGTATCTTAATTTTTTTTATATCAATGCTTACCTACGACCTAAATTATTTAATTGAATAAATTAATTCCCCTAACGCACAGCCAGAAATCACATTAGTTACATTATAATTTCATTCAGTTTATTACTATCTTGGGAAGATAAAATAATCTAAGTATACATATTTACGTAGTAAAAGCTTAAGTATGGAATTAATCCATTGGCAGTCATTAGCATTTATTTTAAGACTCATGCAGTGACGTATAATGTAAAATGAGCTTTTAGAACCTGGTCATAATTAGATAAGTAACGATTACATGGATTTAATGAGTAAACTAGTTAATTGATAATATGACAAGGTACGAATGTTTCCACAGTATCATACTAACAACGTCTAGGCAGAGTTATATTATTTAATATGTATATTAAACACTTCAGACACATGAGTACGTTATATTATGTCTGTGTCTCAGACGCTTTATAAAAAAGCAGCGTGACTTATGGCTGTTACTATTGTTACTACATTTAAATTATTACATCTGTATACGCGCAAATGTGTGGTAGTGAGCGTGCGGTGCGTTCCTTTTTCGAACAGTCGTATTTGAAACAGAGCAGTAGGGGGTAAAGTCATATCAAGACATCTTTACTCATATTATTATTCCCCAAGTATCAAGAGATAGCGGTCCCATTGCGTATTGTGGACTTGTTTGCTATTACAATTATATTAAAATATGCCTATACTATAAAGTACTTAACTAAAAAACTTTTTCATCAGGTGAGCCGCATGCTCGTTTGCCCCCTGCGTTGTAAAACAAAAAAATACATCTACACCAAATACATAAGCGTGTTTAAGATTATTTAAAAAAAAAGTATATATATATCTCTTAGACACAACCTCGCTCATAGCTGAAAACTTCGCTCACACCCTGGAGTGGGCACCTACAATACTGGGGTGGACAATTGAATACCCCCCCCCCCCCGGCCCCGGACCCTATACTCAAATACATGAAAAGTTTATTTAAACTCCGATTAAACACAAGCCAGATTTATAAAACGTACAGTTAAATTAACAAAACAGGAAATGAAAGAAAGAAAAAAAAATGGAAATTAACATTTCTTGGATGTTTAATAAAGTGATGTGTATACAAAACTACTATTATTTCATGATTACAGAGTAGAATACAATATATGTCATCACTTGTTTTCACTCCCAGGATGCCTAAAAGGTGTCTAAAGGAGGAAAACAAATGCTTCAGTACAAAGGAAAAAAACGATATTTAAACGCCACACCTAACTGACTGATTAGCTTGGTAATTATAAGCTAACATCCTATCTTTATGGGCTATCCATGGCCAGTAGTGAGACATTAATGCTTAGAGAAGAAACCAACGGAATCCAAAGAAGTAGAGTGATATCACTATTATAAAGAAAAAACTCCACACAATATGTACATATAACCACTGGCATATTGTAGATATTCCTTTATCCTTTAGATGGCTAAAGAATGGGAGAAATGAAGACCAATCAATCAGTTACCCAAAAGTTCTTTTGAAAAGGTTATTTGCATCTATGATTTTCTTGCTATACTTATACAAGTATATGAGTATGTATTGCATACATACTTTTATTCCCTATTTTATATAATGTAAGTAAATTACATTAGTAAATTACATAAAGTACATTCATTCATATATGTATGGAAAAGTCATTGTGTCTAAAGACATACTGTATGACTGCTATGTATATAGAATAAATATATAAAAAAATTAATCTAATAAATAATTTATAATTAAATGACAACAAATAAACCCTATTTTAATATATAAAGATAATATTTTTACAATACAAGTAGAAACGGTTGTTATAAAAAAAAATATTATTCTAAATTTCATAATGATAATAATCACCTTGAGATATGTATTCAAGGAACGGAAACTGTAAATAATTGTCTAACTATAATCTTACTCTTAATAATATACAAACATGTGAGTAGTTTAACCAGCTATACTGGTATATACTTAATGCGACAGCATATATAAAAGTGGTAAATATAGGACGGCAATATATCATTATATTTATTTCAACCTTATTTCCCATGGATAGATAGTTACAATTATTATAAGGATCTTTATTTTTTTCTTAATAAAATAGTGCCCATGTCAATCACTGGTAATGAAAAGTTATAAGTGATTTTTTTTTTAATTTACCTTTTTAAAATTATCCATAACAAAGGAAAAAATCTAATCTTCTCTATAAAATATTACTATAGATACAATATTCAACTAATATTTATATTCATTCAAGACAAAGGTCCTAAATGAACTACTACATGACCTCTCATAAACTTCTGTTTATTGCGAATCGAACAAAGAGAAGCAAGAACCGAAAACCTCATTATGTATATGTATGGTATGAAAAACTTAAAATACAATATTTGCAAATTCTACTAATGTTGTAAATTTGAACATTTAAATGTTTGAATATATACTACTTATACACACTTCCCCATATGCATTGATTTGAGTGAAATTAAATATTTACATGGGTAAACTAATCCTAACTTAACAAATAGGATAATTTACCCTAAACCCACTCAGATAAAGCTGGGTACTCTGAAGTACTCACCTAGATGGGTATTACAACAATGGGTAATATTAGACTTATTTATTAATTCAGTCAATAACAGTCACAGTTTATTAATGTATCTCAAATTTGAACACAGTTGTTTAGAAAAAAAAATCCCTGCATAGGTATATTCATATCACCATTCTAGTATAAGTACAAACAATTTTACTTCATAATAGTGATAATTATTTATATAAACTTTGATTACAAGATTTCAATACTATGTCTATTAAATGTATGTATGCATATATATTTCAATTTATTTTAAAAGAAATTTAAAAGATTTAGATTTAGGATATTTGTAATAGGTGGCTCCTAATACCAGCAAAATGATTTTTTTTTCTTTTATAAAATATAATAAAATAAAAATTAATAATAATATTATTTTTTAAATATTATTAGTGGTAATAAAGACTATCTATCTATTTAGGATTACTTAAAAAAGACATATACATACTCTTTGACTTTGCCTATAACTGAAAGCTCCTGATCCTGGAGTGGGCACTAAACAATTCTAAGAACGGTACAACCCACCTGACCCCTCTTAGATACACCAATACTATAACATTTATTTATTTATAAAATAAGATAAAAGTGATTAAGAAATGGAAATGTCTGAATTCAGAATATGAACCATTTATTTACCAAATTGCATTCAAATCCGATCCTCTGTTTATGTGACATTAACAAACATTTATGCATTAAAATAACTTCAATAACTTTCATATTTATAACATTATTATAATATTTATCATTTTTAAAACTTATATTAATTACAAATATATATATTTATTAGCCACTATTTGGTGGAACAACATATATGCTCGCTGTACAGTACTATAATCTTAAAAACATGCCTCTCCACCTGATTCATCAGCAATATAAGAAGTAGTAAATTTAGAATGTAATTCGAAATTTATTCAAGCCACCTAAATGACGAGTTTAAGTACCCCAATATGCCCTAGTGTGTGATACTTGATTATGATTTTCAACTGAAAACTATAACAAATTTTTTGAATACATATACTTACAAAAATTAAAAAGATGTACTAATTGATTGTTTCAGCGATGATATCGAATTATAAATTCGAATTAAATAATAAATTTTTTAGTCAAACGAACTTAGCTAACGGAATTTTAATATTTTTATACAAAAAATTTATACGCTGTCTAAATTTAGAAAATTTGGAAACAAACATATAAATACCTTAGATTATTACAAACACGTGCGAACTTCCCACTTACCTTTAAGATCTGGTTATACGAAATTCCGGCCAAGTTGCGTCAAAATCAGGATAAAATTTGTGCAAAAAAGTCCATAAAGAAAAACGACACACTTCTAATTTAAAACATTCACGTCTCGACACAACAATCGTTCACGTTTTTCCAAATTTAAAATATATGATAATAATTTATTACACAATCTAAATAATAATGCAGTGAAAGTGCGAAATTTAATAGCAAATGCGGTAAACAGAAACGATTACCATATACCGCAAACCGCAATAATCAACTGACGTCTGACGTTTCATTCATTTCGTCGAAGCAGGCAACATTGCCAGTATATAACTTTATTTTACTTGACAGCTAGAAACTTAAATTACAAAGGGACAGTAATACATACATATTTGTCACGCCTGTAAGCCTGTTTCTCATTAGGGTAGGCAGAAGCAATGAAACGCCAAATGCTTAGATTCAAAAAAACCTCTTTGCTCCTTTCACATTCATCAATATTATAATGTACACTGTTTTATATTATATGTTTATTGATAATAATTAACATAAATCTGGACAATTTTTATACACAAATAAATATAAAATCACTGTCCATAAAATACAAATAAATTTAGAAATAAAAATAAATAAGAATACTGTTTATGTCAACATATTTTATTAAAATTATATGATTAATTTGCGTTTTTTATTATAAATATATATTAAGCAAACTAATAATACTGATCATAATTATTAAAGGTCTTGAAGATACTTAAGAAAACGTTGTAGTTACAGAAATGCATTACAAAGTTACACCCTTGATAATGGAAAAGTATCCATTACTAGTTCTGGTAACACTGATGCCCGGGTGCGTTTCGTTATACGTATAATATCTTAAATCTTACTGATTGTCATATTTCTGCGAATCTTATGTATTTTCGCTTTACTCAATCTTAAATTAAGTACAGTAACATTTTCCTTGTACGAATTTACATCAATTATTATATGAGTATATCAGTTCCACAATGCAATTAAAAGCATTCTGTATTCCAGATTTGACAAGCTATCGTTATTTTGTCTGAACCATGATATTTTTAAAAGGTTGTTCCTAAAAATAAATAATTAAAACTTTGATTCGCACTACTGGAGTCTGTCTAGTTTTTAAGCAAGTAAATGAGCTGAATGAAATGAATTTTTATGTCATCTTTACGTAAGTAAAGATAACATAAAAATTAACATCATTTTTATTATATTACTTAATGTTGGCTGAACCCATTTAAGATTCATTCGAGTGGTATAATTCATACTCCGTTAACACAAGAAGTAAGAATCAGTATCACACAGGGTTATGACGGTACATAGGACATATTAAAAAAAAATAAGGGCAATAGAAGTTAAAACAAAATTTACCGGCAAGAAGGGATTGTTAGTAATTTGGAGATCGGTCTCCATTGCTATCAATATAAGGTCGACCTCCACGTAGTTCCCCCTGGAAACTACTATTTTGGTGACTAATTTATCGTTGAATTCGTCGCAATGGACTAACTGATCTGCCTTTTTATCCTCACCAATCATACCTCACTGGTGCCCTGCCAGTATATACCAATAGCGCAGGCGGGATTATCATTCCATTATCATCCATAAAAAAAAAATAACTGTACCTGTATTTACTTAAAGCTTATTTTGCGTGCGACAACTTTGCTATCTTATTACTATATCTTACTACTGGAAAACCAGCATATCGCATTCTAAAACGGAACAAAATAAATTATAAAATACTACTCGTATTTTCAACCGTATTCAAAAGGAAAGAAGTTCTCAAGTCGGCTGTTTTTTTTATGTTTGTTACCTCATAATACCGTCAATTGTGAATCAATTTGTTAATTTCTTTTTTTATCTGAAAGGATATACTTACAGATTGGTTTTATAAAAATTTTATAAAAATCGACTAAGTAGTTTAATTATTAAATCAGAATAACTTGTTATGTTATTTATAAAATATTATCTACTTCTAGTCTACATAGACATTTACAAATTATTTGATTATCTTGTAAATAAACAAATAATTATACAAATTTATCGTGTACGTTATTTTAGAACGATAATAATATCCGCTGAGAAATGTCATCATCTGTCAAACCTGATAATGGTAAAGGAATTAAAAAATACCACCTACAAGTGACTCCACTCACCTCCAAAACATGTCGTAGTCTTCCCCACCCCATCCCCAGTACAAATTAGAGAAACCGTTTGCCTGTTTGAACTGCTCCACAGTCATTGAGGTCACGCCGCCGAACGAAAGATTGTTTATAACTCTAGAAATTTAAGGTATCTTAAGGTATAGTCATACTCATTTTAATGTCCCATTTGACCTGCCAATCGTTCTTTGGCTCCCTATAGGTCGTTTATCAGGGTCATTATTATTTACAACAATTATACATTATTACATCTATACTAATATTGTATAGATAAGAAATTTAAATGTTTGTCTGTAATGGATGAACTCAAAAACTGTTCAATCGATTTTAAAAATTCTTTTACTATATATAATGTATAGTCTATTATCATTATTATTATTTCAATTTTCAACTATCCACTGCTGAACATAAGCCTTCCTCTTGGGGGGTTTTGCCAGTAGTTGTCCCATTTGGCAGGCAGATTGGCAACCGCAGTTAAGCTTTGAAGATGTTTTAAGAGAAGCGCTGCTGCCCATCGCTCGCTCTCTCTTAATGCCTCTTACGATACCTACAGAAAAAGAAAAAGTGGCCAATACTATGTTGGGACCACACTGCAATGCTCACTTACAACCTTTGTTTATATTACGTCTATGCTTATAACATTTACACGGCGATTAGCGTGAACGATTACCATGATACGGGATTTTTATACAATAAGGTGACCCTGTTAAATCGACTTCTCCGTGCCGCCCCAGGTTGTAGTTAACTGAGAGCAGGTAACGTGGGTGCATTGGGGGGAAAGGGATTGTTAGTAATGGAGACTGAGAATCCCATTGCTAGCAATATACCCAACCAGGTCGACCTCCTCGCGGTTCCCCCTGGAAACTATCATGGTTAATACCTGATGAATTCATCATGATGGGCTAATTGGCCTGTTTCCATTCTCATCTATCACCCTTCACTGGCGCTTCGCCAGCGTATCCCGTTAGCGCAAGCGGGGTTACCATACCATTTTCACTCATCAAAAAAAAGTGGGTGCATTATATTATATTATCGATCATCATCGTCATCTTCTTCTTGCCGTTATCCCAATTATTTGAGGTCGGCGTTATATATTTTTATTTATATTATAATATATGGGTTTGGCTTTTCGTTTTACGACCGTCACTTGTTAATGGTATCCGCCACTTACAGTATACAAAAAAAGAATTGAGGAAAAAGAAAGAAGTGAGTAAATGAATTTGTTGAAAATACTAGTAAAGAATTTATGGACAAAAGTTGAAGCCTTCTTTACACAGCAGTTGCGGAGGGGATGTTAGTCAGAAACTCAAATGGGTCTTCAGTGCCACGCATTCTTATACTGTAGATCATGTTTCATTTCATAAAGTTTCATTAAAATTATACCTGCAAAAGTAAGCGGTGGAATTTTAGGCTACTATACCTAATCAGACTGATACATAGATATTTTTCTAAAAATATACACACACATTAGTGTATGCGTCGATGACTTTACCACATATATGCCTTATAAAGTTTGGGCAGCTGTAAAGGATCCTGGAGTCAGTTGGCAGCAAATCTACATCGTGGAACACCACACAATGAAAGGTGCCAAACATTTGCATTTCCATGAACACCGCGTTATACAGTCGACCTTTAATAAAGATGCCCTTACCTTGGAAAGCAGTAAAACATGATTAAAATATATCTATAAAGGTACGGGATGAATTTGATTGGTGATTCTGAATGATAATAATTTATCACCAGAGGGAGGAAATAATTGTTAATAATAAGGACTAGCAGCTCCATTGCTAGCAATATACCATGTCAAGTCGACATCCACGCCCTCCTAGAAACTATCTCTATCAATTCCTGATCATTTTGCCCCGATGGACCACCTAACTGGACTTCATTGGGGAGAAAGGACTTGTTAGCAATAGGGACTAGAGGCCCCAAAGTAACAATATACCCTGTTAGGTCGACCTCCACGCGGTTCCCTCTGGAAACTGTCGCGATTAATTGTTGTAGGATTCATTATAATGATTTAATTTTTTATAACTTACCACTTTGTTCGATGACAAATATCCTGTACTCCAGCTTCCGTTTCATTAAGAATGGGTGAATGTTGTACAGGAATATTTCCAGGTTCGCTTCCCGGTGTCTACAGTAAATTTTTTTTTTATAATTGTAAATAATCAACGTCATCTTAATGATACTTAAATCATTGATATTTGATATCACTACCCTAGTCATCATTTCAGTCTTTGCTGAACACAATTTTTATTCTTTCAGATAAAAAAGATTTTTTTCCAAGTCGCTTTAGAACTGATGGAATTATGAGGTAACAAACATAAAAAAATACAACCGAATTGAAATCCCTTTCATTTTGAAGTCAATTGAAAATCTAAAAAGATATTTTGTTCCAGAACATACATCATACACATACAACATCCAGAACTTAGGTTACACGTTTATTTTTATTATTTACTTAATTTTCTTGCACTGTATAATTATGTTAAAGTGAATGCTGTGAATACCTATAATAGGCATGTGCATTAATATTGTATTGTATTTAATGTTGTTATACCTATATGTTATAATGCAATATGCTGTTGGTGTTCCTTAAATAAATAAATAAATATATAATAAACTAAATAACAACATACAATAAACTAATATTTTAAAAATTATACCAACCTAATCTCCCATTTACATAGAGTAATATCCTTGACCGTCGTACCGTTACAACGTCTAAGTTTATTTATATCTATAGTACTTATATATATATGGAGTACTTAAAATAATTACAGCCCTCCGTCAAAAAGTTCGCTCGGTGGAGATCGCTTTGAGTGATAAACTCGTCTATTGTGCTTCTCCGTTAAATTTTATAAATAACATTACATTAAGTCTGTTATATATTTTTGGAATTAGATAATAAACGTTATTTATTGTATTACTTTCTTTCAATATTTTGTATTTTTTTCTACAAAGTAGTGTAACGGTTTCATAGACTGCCTTATTTTCTAATGGTCACGAGTTCTTCCCTATTTTTTATGCAACATAGGATTGCTAACAAGCTGGCGGCTCATTTAACGAAAATTGATAACCGTCGCCTATAGACATAAACAGTATTATGATAAATAACCTAAAAATACGTGTGATATTTGGCTTCCTTTTCAATTTACTTTTAATTTTAATAAATATATGCCCTTTTGCGCATAGATCTCTAATTATTTGACACTTACTAACAATAACGAGGAGGCTTCATCCTCGTTGCTAGCGATATACCCAGTCAGGTCGACCTCCATGCGGTCTTCATGGAAACCATCGTGTTTAATTTCCGGAAAATTCGTCACGATGCGATGGTCTAACTAAAATTGTATTATCAGGGGAAATATACTGTTAATATTAATACATAATCTAGCGCCATTGTTAGTTATTTAAATCAGGTCGATCACTACGTGGTTCCCCCTGAAACCATTGTGGTTAATTCATAATGAATTCGTCATGACGGGCCAAGTGACCTTCTTCTTTCTTCCTCACCTATCATCCCTCACTCGCCAGCCTCGCCAACGTATACCAACAGTGCAGGCCGTGGAAATCAATCAATTATCATTACTTCATCACCTTCAATCACTTTATAATCTCCCACTAATACCCCCTACCAACGCAAACTGACAGCGTAAGCTTCATTACAATTAAAAAAAAATGTTAAAAGTATAGATAAATAGCCACTTACCAAGTTGACTTTTGTTTAATACGCACACCGGTATTTTATTAACACGGACCGGTTCTGGAAATTAATTAAAAGGATCTTATTAATATTGAAAGGGTTCCTATTTTTCTTAACGTTTTCCTGTTATCCCTTATTTGTTCTATTTAGTAAACGGTCTTGGAATGTTTTATGGAAATTAGTAATCAAATTAGACAACAGATACGAAAAAGAACAAACTTATTTAGTTGGTAATATTTATTATACATTTCAATAGAATTTTATAATAATATAATCAAATATCGCCGTGTGATTCCGGCATAGAATAGGCCACCCCTTCCTTTTCCGTAAGAGGTGACTAAAGGAACTTAATGATAGAAGAATGGGCAACAGCGTCCCTCTTGAAATATCCCTGAAAGCCTAACTTGCCAACTCGCCTGCCAAGCGTGGCAACAACTAACAAAACTCCCTAATAGGGGGAGGCCTATCTTCGGTAGTGGACAGTTAAGAGCTGATACGATGAGGTTGATTTATAAGGCATAATATTATACCTAAGTACTGAGATAAAGAATATAGTATTAACACAACCCACTCGCGTGGACAAAATTACGGGTAACTAGTACAAAATAAAAACTTACCTAACATATATCTGGATGTTCTAATATCATCTGATATTTTATTATGTTTTTCTTTAATAATTTTTGTATCCCTGTAAGGGATATTATTCTGCAGAGTTTAATACTCGTTCCTCTAAAAAGCTAAAAATACTTTTATTTAGTTTTGTTAGTTTATTTTAATTATAATATTAATTTAACTGACTGGTGGAGACCATTATTATGATTCTATAGGTATTCTCTAATGCCTGTAGCATTAAGTCCGCCCAATGGCAGACTTAATGTGTACAAAATACCATAAATGTGGAGCAAAAGTACTGGTTATTGGTCAATAAAGTGTAAATAAATAAATAATCTAATATGTAACAAAATATATATTATAGCTATATATTAACTAGTTTATAAACTCGTGATAAAATAAGTTATGGGCCCAGAGACATGAATTGCCTACGCTCCAAGTATCTCAACAGGTCCAAATTGAGATGCCTAGTGCGATATCTATATAAAATTATTATAAAATATGTACTTTATTCTTTTGCTGATTGATATCTTTTAATTAACAACACTTGGTCAGGAGTAGTGCCCGTAAAGAACATACAGTACAGTATTGGAGTAAAAAGAAACACCAGGAACCACTGTCGCCACAGCGTTCCACCCGTTTCTCCAGACAATTGTTCAAAAATGACGGACGCTCGCGTGCTGAAACTATTTATATAAATGTATATATTCTTTCGAGTCAATAAACAACCTAAATATATTTCGACCAAACCTTAGCAACTTCCATAGCACAGCAGTCAGGTCGATCTCTACGCGGTTCCTCCTGGAAATCGTCGTCATTATTGTCAAAGTCATCACGATGGGCCAACCGACCTAAATTAATTCTTACCTATCATCCCTCACTGGTGCCCCGCCGGTGTATACCGATAGCGCGGGCGGGGCTACCATTTCATTATCATTCATAAAAAAAAACTTACTGATAAAATGCCGCGGCTAAATAACTATATTCACTTTCCTCAATGGAAAAAACGGATACATGGCGTAAAATTTATTTTAACAGTGAAATAGAGAAACTATCGGCAACACGTTACAACACGTACTGGGCTCTGGCTAAAACTTTGCTCGAGTTTTGTTTGTAGTCGGACACAAACAACAACAAACATCAGTATCGAATGTTGATATCAATGATACATTCTATAAATATTTAATAAAAGTTAAAATGTTTAAAATTGAAAATTCATGAAAAAACGCTATTCAAAACCGAATGGCCACTTTGGTAATAATTTATTTTTTATGCAACGTAAAAAGGCATACCTTATACGACATGACGATTTTTTTAAGAGCATTGTAGAAGGAAAAATAGAGGGTAAAAGCTGAAGAGGAAGACCTAGGAATAACTACATGGGACAGATAAAAAAAAACACTAGGTGTCATGTCGTATAAGGAGATCAAGGATATGGCCTCGGATAGAGCTGGCTGGAAGAAGATGCATGAATTAGTTGCACCGACAAGAGGAAACTTTAAATTAAAAAAAAGGGCATACAAGCTGACGGCCCACCTGATGGAAATTGGTCACCGTCGCCTATAGACATGAACAGTATCATAGACATAACAGAGTATACTGTGTTGTTCGTGATACCTCAATAGACTCATATTTTTCTCTTATAGTAAAACGCTCGTTCTTAACAGCGAGTCATTAAAGTCGTTAATAAAATAAGCAAAGCTGTTATTAATTCAACTGTCATAATATTTTTACTTCCTTCCTAATTGACGCGAGGAAGGCCAAAGGGTGTAGTAGTGTAGTGTAGCTAGCAAATATATTTATTTATTTAAACTTTATTGTCCAATAAAATATAGTAGAAAAGGCGGTATATAGGTATTCTTTACTAGTCAACTTTTAAGATATGCAGAGGTACTTGATGACGGTTAAAATAATAAAAATAACTAACCTAAAGAGTACGTTACGTTTCAAGTATTCAAAATATAACTAAATTAATTCAAAGAAATCTAGACAACATACCAGCTCAGTAACATTGTATCTAGACAGAATTATCGCTACAAGCAGGAACGCTAGTCCAATTGTGTCTGGAATTAATTTGCAGCATTAGCCTCGTCGCCTTGAAGCCGGAGACTCAGGAAATAGACGGATTCTGGTTCATTTACTGCACCTAATTCTACCCGTGTACTCCCGGAGACAACATTCATCGTGTCTTTTAAATTTAAAATTGCAATAAGTATTTTGTCGTAACATTGACTGAAAAAGAAAAAATGGAATTAGAGGAAAAATAATATAAATAAATAAGCCTATTTATAGATTATTTCATGTATGGAGACATCGGTGTGTGAGATTAACTCGCACTTCGCTGGTTTTTTTAGTAGCCGTTTTCGTTTGAAAGCCAGAATACGGCAGTAAGATATAATCAGACTGGAAAAGCATGAGAACTACCTTAATGAGAATTGTTAAATAACTTCTAAGTTCTTAAGTAACTTTTTAGTTTAATAACTTCTATCAAGTCAATGGTGACTTGTAACACAGGTTCTTCTAAACCTACCGCAAGCTCCAGTCTCTCACAAAATTGGTTTCATATCAAATGGTACCTCAAGTTGTCACTTCATTCTACCTTTTGTGAAGAGAAAATAAAGCATTCATTCATTCATTCATCCCTATCAGGTTGACATTCACGCGTTTCCCCCTGGCGACCATAATGGTTAATTCTTGTAAAATTCATTATTATGGGTTAAGTAACCTACTTTCATTCTCACCCATCATCTTTTCATCATCATATCAACCTTTAACTGTCCACTGTTGAACATAAGGCTCCGCCTTGGGGGGTTTGCCAGTAGTTGCCACGCTTGGCAGGTGGTTTGGCAACCGCAGTTTTTAAGTTTTTAGTTTAGAGATGTTTCAAGAGAGACACTACAGCCCATCCGTCACCCTCCCTTAGTCGGTTCTTATGACACTTATGGGATAGGAAGTGGTGGCCTATTCTATGCCGGGACCAGACGTTCATTATTTCTTTCTGCCATTAAAAAAAAACATGATCTAAAACATGTACCTGACCCAAGCAATCGACTTTGTACAAAAGTCGATTGCTTGGGTACCTCTGTCCCATTTATGTTTCAACCGTGAAGCAGTTGTGTTTGCATGGCTGTGTTTCGGTTTGAAGGGTGGGATATGGCGTGAATTTATAGGGTACAGAGGAATAACACCCGAGACCTTAGGAATGGCAACGCATGGGGGGTATGATTGGCGAAACAATATACTCTGTTATGTTCATGGTACTTTGACTTTGGTTATCACTTTCCATCAGGTGGGCCGTCAGCTTGTTTGCCATTCTAAGTTGTATAATAATAATAATCCTTAATACTGTTCATACATTTATCACATTCCATCACGTAAACCGTAAATTTATTTCCGATTCCAATTTGTGTAAATTCCAGATTTTGTAAATTGTACATATCTACGACTATGCGAAACGGATATTGCAAATTCTGAAGAGAAGCACTCCCAAGATTTCATTAAAATGTAATTTGCATCCTATGCAATCCAGTAATTGTATTGCGATGAATCAGTCTGGCGACGTCGCCCACAGCACATGCTTATGCACACTACCCGACGATTTCATTACAATTACATAACTCCTCAAACACCAAAAGTACTTTCTATTAATCCGGTATTTTTTTAATCTATAATCTGAATCTGGGTATTTAATACTAACACCATTTTTTCATTTTTTCTTAATTGTACCCCCGCCTGCTAACAGTATACGCTGGCGAGGCACCAGTGAGGGGCGATAAGTCAGAATGAAAAGGCAGGTCAGTTAACCCATCGTGATGAATGCACCTGAAATTTAGCACGATGGTTGAAAGGATGGTTTCATATGCCCGCAGATCAGTTTCCAGTTTCCACGTGGAAACTGACCTGCGGGCATATGTCGTTCAACTGTCACGTGACCACTGACTGGCTGGTTTGTAGCGTTCATAATATGAATTAGCAGGGCAGTTCAATTTACGCCGTAATCTGCCTGGAAATAAGAGTTCATAATACGACCCCTGATGGGATATATTGTTAATAATGGATCTGGTAAATTCCCATTACTAATAATCCCTTTCCTCCATCTACTGTAGTTATTTTTTTTATACCATGAAGGCGGCAAATGAGCATACAGTTACTGTAGCCTGTGGACGCCTGCAATACTAGGGGCGTCTCCTGTAATTATTATTTACATCAAAATAGGAATCCAATTATATAATTTTTTTCAAGACTACAAAAGAGTAGATACTTAAGATAGACTGAAAAGGAAACATCCAAAGTAAAGCTATTAAAAAAAAAACATGTTCGTAACCAACCCTGAAGAAACTTTAAGTACTTTATAGTATAAATAGCGTGGAGACTTGTTTACGAAATTACAATATCATAAAAAGTTGCAATGTACCTAAATATTTATATACATACCTTTCGACCCTTACAATTTCATTATAGTAACTATAATTGCCCACTATATTTTATTTGTGACAATTTAGCAATGATTTATCAAAACCAAAGAATACTGTGGTTGTATCTGGGCCCGCAGCAATTCCTCCGCTCTTAATTGTTTTATAACAACGATTCTATTCAAATTCTGGATATTCATCGTAGACACTAATGGAAATGGTTTGGCAATGCCGCTAACGATATAATTTATCATGAGTTAAAACAAGGAGTGCACAGAAATAGACTATTTGATTACATTACGTTATAAATCACCTACTCTTTGTAGCTTTCAATAAAATTCATTGCCAATAGTATGTAAAGTGATCCGACAAGAACCTATTTTGAAATGTCATTTTCTAAAACCACCGGTTTCAATCATGAGATAAAAACTAAGGGACCGATGCGGGAGTAAAGCTACGACAAGTTTTCGATTAGAAATGAATCATCAAAATTGGTTGAAAATTGAATTTCTTTATCGCATTTTTTTTTTAATGAAAATTGTTTATGGCAACCAAGCGATGAGTTTTTCTAAATGGTTATTTTTTTATTAGATAATTATTTTTTGCGATTTCCTTATATTTTGGTACGACTGTTACAACTGTCATGATCATGGGCAAATTGAAGAAAAGCGGGTATATGAGTATACGTATAGTCAAATTGGCGATATGGTCCACGTTGTTGGAAAGTGACAATCGTCTATAAACCTGATCAACACGGTAACCGCTTACCATCAGGTGGACCGTAAGCTTGTTTGCCTCCTCAGTGATATAAAAAAAAACATCGTGGGTGTGGTATGAAATGAAAAGAGATTATGGAGTCTTCACTTCAGTTAGGTATACACAATATACAAATGACGTTGCTACCTACACAACAATATTTTATTCACAATATAAATATAAAATACAAAATGTTTATATTATTATTATTCCTCATTTCAATGAAATTCATTTCTAGAAACAAGAGACAAATAAAACGTCGTGAAAAATACATTGGGCGGAAGCTCAATATACATATATTTTATCTGGTGGCTTCTACACGCCAAATATATTCGTACTCGAAATAAAGTTGCTATATTTTATTCGAGAGAGAAGAGAAAATTTCAAAATATCGAACAAATGCGAATCTTACGGAATAACATTTTATATCATTACTAGCCATTCGGCCCGGCTTCGCACGAGTTCGCTTCTTTCGTTCTTCGGGTTTCGTTCTTGCGGAAATCGCAAGTTATGAGTAGAAAGAATTGTTAAAATGCAATCTGCATTAATTGGTATACAAAGTAGGATAATAAGTTTATATAGATGGGCTTTATGTGCTAAATTAAGATAAAGCTCTGTGTTGTGAAGCAACTACCTGTAAACCTAATTACCAAGTATGAGAGATCCAACGATTACAGATCCCTCACCGTTCGAATCCATTTTTTCTTATCAGGATAAACACTATCCTATCTCTCAAAACAGAGCAAACCATACATATTTACGAAAATTCATTAAAATCGATTTAGGGGTTTCGAAAATGAAGGAACATCGTGAAGACTTATCCTTACATTCGATAGCTTTTAGTAAAATTTTGTCTTAAAGTTCTCTTAACCAACCCTAATAAGTACAGTTCGCTGGTCAAAAGCAACTCTAAACCTTAAATAGCCATATTTTGAATTATAAAAAAAATTTCAAACGCAGTGACACGAAAAAACGGAGAGCAAACTGATTCTAAACGAAAAATAATTTACAACAAAGAGGTAACTCTCAATAGTTTAAATTTCAAACAATATTTATTATTTTATTTTCAGCAATTATCAATTGTTGTATGTTACTGAGTATTTACACATGTGTTAGCTAATATATATATATATATATATATATATATATATATATATATATATATATATATATTATATTGATGAATTTTGAATAAAAGAATAAATACTAAAAAGAACCTTTGAATCTTTCCTACAGTAACAAATTAAATTTTGTTAATAATATAATATTACAGTACAAATAATAAGATAGTGAAGAAGAAATATCAGAAATAAATGAGATATTCATATAAAGACCTTACGAACTTCTACGGCCAAGTTAATGGCTGTAAACTTTTTCATCTTGTGCAAAAGCTTGCACACGTTTGAATCAGTTACAAATTTGCAAACGTAAATTTCTCCATTGTCGGTGTCTCCTTCTAAACGCTTCATAATATCTTTTACCTGTTGTACATAAGGAGTAGTCTTTTCTTCAGGAAGTAATACAAAATGCCAAGGTAGGCAAATTTGTAATACGTTCCATATAACCTTTTGACTAACAGCGTATATTATGTCTGGATTTTCTTGCATCACTTCACTTTTATGCTCTTCCTCCACTTCTTCTTTCTCTGGAAGCTTATCATTAACTGTATCAGTTTCCTCTTCAGAGGGTTTACAAATGAATGTAGTCTTAACATCTATAGCAGACTGTGCAATTTTACTTTTACTAGAGATAGTACTTTTCTGCATCTTTGGCAAACGTGCACTCTGACTACTCTCTATTTTTTTAACCTTTGATGTTATGCTCTTTTCTTTTTTACTCTTTTCATCAGTAATGGGAAATGGTTCTGTATATTCTAATTCTATAATAGTTATACCCTCACAAGTATTAACTACATCCGTTATTAGTTTATCCAAATATTCGCATGCGCACTTACGAACACATGCTAAACATTTATCTTCATATTGTTTTAATTTAATCAAATTGCATACAACTTCTTGGCATTCATCAAAATTAAAGCATATCTTTTTACCAACCGCCATAGATAAAGCTGAGGTGAATCCCTCAATTGGATTAACGCTTTTACAGAAAGCTAGAAGAAATGCAGAATAATTCATTTTATCTTGAGATGTTTCAAATAATTCAAATAAGAAATGCTTAGTTAAGTTTTTTCTTAACTGACTATATTTATTATCCAGATCAAAATCTTCTTCGAACCAAAGCTCTTCAAGCAGAAAGTTATTTCTAGATATGAGCTCAGTGGAATCAATATCAGTACATCGAAAATTTTTACGCATCTCCAATAATTCCTCTAAGGTAGGAAACCTTATATTTAAGCAATAAATAAGAAAGTCCCTCCAATCTATGTAACAAGTGTCGCCAAATAAAAGATAGACCAATTTAGGAACTTGTTCAGGATCTAAACGATTCCATGCTTCTGGAAATAAAGGACCTTCACATGATTCTTTACCAAAGAAGAAAAAGTCTTGTAATAAATATATAAAAGCTTGTTGCAGTATGATGCCAGTAGGTGCAACAATTTTAAATTGTGTACGTAATCTAGCTAACTGACCAACTTTAAAATCTAGGTCTTTAACTACCTCGACGGTTTCTCCTTTATCAGTAGAGAGTTCAGATGTTGAAAATTGTAAAAGGTTCGGATCAATAATAAATCCATCATGTTCAAGAATAAGAGTTTCTGTTATTTTTCGCCCTCCTTCTACGGCCATTTGCAAATATTTGCATAGCCGATCAACTGCCTTGATCTCATTCATGTAATGTGTATTAATATCATTTTGTACTTCTGTAAATGTATTATAAATATTATCATTAAATAACTTCATATCCTGATAGCATTTATATTGAAGTGCAAACATACGTAAACTAGCACGAAACATCTCGCCATTTATAGCCATTGTCCATTCTTCCATACATTTTAATGCCTTTTGTATAAAAATTTCTTCAAACTTGATTGTCTCTTCTGATGTATTATTATCGTCTTTCCTTTTTACAGGTGGTGTAATTTTTGCAATTTCACTATACTCTCTACTTATCAGTGATCGATAAGAATCATTTGTGTCTTTAATAACTTTCAAAGCAAACTTAACGTTGTTCTCTATTATTAAATTAAAAGGATTGTTACTGTAATCAATCTTAATATTTTTTAATTGCAGTTCCTGAAATGCTGCTTTTAATTGTCGGTATACTTTATCTTCTCCTCCCTTCCTGCTTCCAGATGTTTCTTCTGATTCCTTTAATATTTTTGTTAAATCTTTAGATGAAAGTCTGTCATTTGGAGGCATACGTTTTATCATTGCAAAATAAAAATCATGTAATGCTTGAAATGTTAAAATAGACCTGAAACAAAAACTTGGAATAAAAATCGTTGGTACATTTTATTTTGCAAACAAATTGCAGCCTCATAGTGACATTATGAGCATTAAATCAATAATTATAACACCGCCAACCAAAATGGTTGATATACGAGTAGACGCAGTCTCAGGAACTCTTAATTATATAAATACATATAATTTAAATGTATTGTAAAATTATAACTTTGCATTCTGAAAATATGAATATTAGAACATTTAACCGTCTAGTATTCTTAGACGATTAAATATCGCGCTATATTCTATCAACAAATTGTATAGTTATTTAATGATGTGCTTATTACAGATTATTTAAAGGATACGTTATTTTTCCAGCTAATAAAAAAGCCAGAAGCTTATGTTACTGAACAGCTAAGATAAAAATCTGGTTGCAGAAATAAATTCTATTCAATATATAATAATCATTAATTACCGATTTAATTCTGTCTGCATACACGATATATACGTATTGGCCATACTCGTTAATTCTTCCATAGCCCAATTTTCACAAATAAGCGCATATCTTTGCTGTTGAGCATGTAATTTTCCTTCATCGCAAATGTGATATAGCTTGTTTTGTAATTCTTTAACACGACAATGCCATTCATTTTTAGCTAAATTAATTTCACGCCAGTCATACTCAAATTCATTATAATCTTTCTGAAAACAACTTACTAGATCTTGCTTAAGAGAAGGTAAAGTCAGTATTTGCTCCATTTTATCTTTAATAAATCTAGTATATGGTATCAAACAATTCATTTGCAAACGTTTAGCCAAAAACAATTGCTGCATATCACAAATATAAGTTTTTTCAATTTCCTCCCAACAAGTTGCCAACGCTATACCAATAATCTCAGGAATAGGTAAATCGCCATAATTCCAATCTTCTTCACCAGCTAAAATCTTTATTTCTTTCACACTTGTCATTGATCTACTTTGATTATCATCTGATACATTCTCCAAAAAAACGTTGATAGTCTCTGGCCTTTCTTCATTTGAATTTGGTGCTTTTACAACTTCCAGTTCATTATTTAGCGAAATCTTACTGATTTTAGACACTTGTCGTATCTTTTCTTTAGATTTTCTATTTGATACCTCAGGTTTAACAATTTTAGATTTTGTTCTTTTATCATCTGAGGATGGAAAATCAAGACTACTTAAGACATTTTCACCAAATATTTCGTCACAAGACTTTAAAGGCATAGTATAATCGCCAATAATGTATTTGCATATTTGTGCTAACAATACTTTTTCTATAACTTCATAGTACATACTATAGTTAATTCCCAATGCAGCATAAAATCTATCTATCAGTTCTGAATTTTCTTCCGTCAAATTCCATATAACAAACTCTTGAAGAATGTCTTCTGTTTCCTTAAGTTTGATGTAGCAAGTAAAATAACTGTCAAAAGGTATATCGTTTTTCCTTTTATGAGGATCACTTACAAGTTTAGAAACTCTAACTGCCTTATAAGGATCTATCTCTTTTGTACGGTGTTTTATAATGCTCTCTTCTAAATAAATATCATCTCGGTCATTTAATTCACCTACATCAGGAGGAGCACGACCAGAAAAAGTCTCTTCCAATATTTGTGCCTGCCGATAAGTCTTTGGATAATTTACAAGAACAAAACCAGTAATATTTCCTTGATCTTTTATATATTCGACTATCATAGCTGCTAATAAATGATCTGTTAAAGATTCACCAAAATTTAATATTTCATAAGTATATTTGCCTAGATCTGCGGCAGCGGACAAAACGATCTCTTTTTCTGGTATTGTTTTAGGTGTTTGCGTTTGTTTTGTATTTAAAGGTAAAGTACCTGAAACTATATTAATATTTACATCGCCAGTTTTATTAATAACTTCATCATCCACTTTCATCATTTGAAGAAGTTCTTTATTTTCTTCTTCTTGAGCTGCAAGAATAAATTTATCAAAAGACAATTCAATATCAGTACATCCAATCATTTCAGTCTTAAACTTCTTTAAACAAAAATTAATAGCAGACTCTACTCGAACAATATGGATTCGTCGTAGATTAAGTAATGTTTGCATAGCAATTGTTATCGATCTATCTGGGAGACCACATAATAGCGCCTTTACAGAAAAGTGTGGCAAATTAGCTGGCGGTCTTGGAGGTGGATATGGATACTTAATATCTAATAACGTATAAACAACGTGACCTAATATTTTTGTACCGAGATATTCATATTTTCGTTCTTCTGCCTCAGGATCATAGTTAGGTATTAATAAATCCAATGCCCACGGATACGAATAATTGTGGTATTCTTTAAATTCATTTTCATTTAAAGCATCCTGTCGATTCAATTCTAGTCTTATTACTTCTTCCTCTTGAATCGAAGATTCTTCTTCTATTCCTTGCTCTTTTAAAATGTTCTCCATTGGATCTAATATATCAAATATAGGTTGTTGTTTATAATACAATGTTTTCCATTCATGAATGAAACGATCAGGAATATCACCTCCTATTAATTTTTTAAAATATGCATATTTAATTCCATAATCAATAATTGATAACAGAGTCTCGTAACATATTTCATAATATCGTTGTCGTTTTCTCTTAATTTTTTCAGCATATAATTTTTTATGAAGCATGTTTTGTCTTTGTTTTTCAAAGTCTATTTCAACGACTTCCAAATGAATTTGTTCTTTAACATTATCAAGGTATTGGTTGAATTGTTGTTCTCTTTGATCTGCAAACTCCCTTTCTGCTCTTATTCTATTCTGAACAAGGTTTCGTGCTTGCTGTTTAGTTTCCATAATTTGAGTACACATTTGTTTCTCAAACTGAGAAAGTTTCATAACTTTTTTGGCTAATTCAATGTCAAACTTCGTTTCCTCTTCAGCAACTGAAAAATCCCACAGAGATCCACTAATAACGTTACATATTTGTTTCTGAAACTCCTCAGAATCAGATCTTTTGTACATCCTAGTATAAAGATTATCCATATAATTTTTTGCCCATTCTGAATCGATAAGTGACTTTTTTCTTTCAACCGCTTTTTCATCCAAAGCAAGTAATTGTTCATATGTATAATTTTCAAATTTACAGGGATATTTCAATGCAAACTTTTCCATTTCAATTTTTTCTTTATTTGTTATATTTTGGGTCTTTTGAGGTAAACGTTGCAGTGGTGTTTTTGATTCTTCAATTTTATTTAATATTTTAGAATATTTATGTCTCATGAAATCATATAACTCTTTAACTTGTTCTGTTTTTTTTCTTTGCCACTCAATAAATTGTTTTTCGTCTAGTAGTGGTTTAGAAAGATCGTCAACAAAGTATTCTTTGTCTTCTTCTACTCTATTAACTTTGAATCTATTGCCCATCTTTTCAATTAAATTGGAGACCATTTTTATCTCGCTTTTAATGAAATCTATACGATCTTTTTTATCTAAATGAAGAAATAATTGGTAAAATAAACGAAGTAAGGTTGACCCTCTACCTTCCATAATATTACTCAAATCTATTTCATTCAAATGGACTCGTAAATCCTTTAGCCATGCCGTCAAATATTTCCAATTATTTTTGAGATCTTCAAGTGCATAACCGGATCTTATTAAATAATACTTTTCATCATTAATAATATTGTAACTTAGTAGAATGTTAGCTATAATATTCCCATTTTTCATCATATCGCCGAATTCTTCAGCTTCCCATTTAATTGGCCTTTGTAACCTTTCGGTTAGCCACTCTTTTAATATTTCGGCCATAATTTATACTTTTAATTTATAGTAGTAGATCACTAGTAGTAGTTATATTGGATTATTCACAATGAAAAATTAAAAATTGTCAATCATTTTTTAATTTACTTTTTTTTTCCTAAAAATACATTTAAAACCTATTTTAATAACTTACAAATAGGTTTTCTCCCTTAAATAGCTGCACTGCTTATAATATTTTTAGTCTTTTACAGAGTGAGATTAAACTAATTAGCATCATTTTAGTACTCTCCTTGTTCTATCAGTGGAACTGAATATTTTTCAAAGAAATATATATCTAAAAGTCTTAGCTAAAAACGTTAAAATGTCATCACTTTAGATATAATAAAATATCTAGAGTGTTCTATGCTTATTTCATAGCCGTACTGTGTTACATACTTAATTCCTTCACTTACACTAAATTTTACAAAGTATTTTATGGAAAATAGAATGAAAAACTAGACTCTTCATCTATGGTTCATAGCTAGCTTTTTCGTGTCTTTGCTGTCACATAGTGTCATGTCATGTCATACGTACAATATTATGACATTTTTGTAATGTTTATTTTTCGCTATTTTTTATTGTATGTTTATTAATACAGTCAATCAATCTACATAGATCTATTTCAGGATGAAATGCAATGAATTTGAAAAAAGTGTAAGTAAATTTATCAGCTTTATTTATCTACATAGACAGATAACCTTGAATGGTACTGTTTAATACTAATTTTATTACGTTGTTTAGAAATCTCGCCACATGAACCTGGACAACTTGGACAAAGCGTTACATGATTTAGGAATGTTGAGTGCAATAACAGAAGCTCGCCGGGATTATTTAAGAGAGTCAAAAGCAAATTTTGGAGTGATGCGATTCAACACGCGCTACGTATCCAACGTCACCGTAGGATATTGTATGAAAAGAGCAACAAACAAAAACAGACTCTGCCCTTATGTTTTGCCCGTCAGACATAGAACTAAGAGTGAAAACTCAGATGCGATCATTAGTGACGTGACCGACGCTGGATGCGAATACAAAAACAGTTTGTTGGAACCGTCCACAAGTGGATATGGCGCTCACGAGTGCGCCAAAAGCCCAGCAAAACGCTGCCAGTCGCTAGAAAATCTCAATCTGTTAGTAGAATCCCAATCTGGCTCAGAAATATCACCAGAAATGGACTGTGTGTCAACTCGCATCCAGAAACTACAAGTTGATGAATGACATACCCACATCACAACTCGGTCTAGCGTTGTGGCACCAATGAATGATGCCATCACAGAGTGATGGATTGATAGAATGTAGTTGTAGTATTGAAGTGATTTACTGGATGTTGGTTGTATATTTTTCAGTGTATTTGTACATGTGAATGAGTGCCCCCTTATTGATTTTTACAAAACACACTGGACTGTCTGTAAATATTGTTTTAAAATGTTTTATTTACATAACCCTGTACTGGTATAATGTCATAATGTAAAAGTCTATTGTTTGTCAATAATTTATATATTTGTATGTAAGAGCTTCTTAATTGTGACCAGTGTCCTAATATGAAAAGATTTTAATTATATTTCTTGTGGTTGTAGTTAAAATATGAATGTTGTAGATTATTATTTATTATTACTGCTGGCTTTACAAACAGTGCAATATAAAACATAATTGTAAGGGGGAGCATGTAGATTTATTTTATGTCTGTAGTTCTGTGTGATTTTATAATTTTGCATGTATGACAGCCCTCAGTGGCCTGCAAATCTATGTGTAGCTATTGTCCTTAAATATTTAAGTATGCAAATTGCTCAAAATTCTTAATGGGTACAAATCGTGGATATAATACTGATTGTTTTATGTCTACAATTTACATTGTTCAAGGTTTGTTAAAGCGGCAGTTTTAAATTATTTTTATAGTTACCTAAACTAAATACCACCTAAGAATTTGTTGAGAACAAATTATTTTGTTTTGTCTAAGTCACAGATGCACTTTAGTACAAGATATTTATATATGTACATAAATTGTCTAATAATATGGTTTACATTTAGTACAGCTCTTCAAATAAAAAAAAGGAATTTTAACAATACTAATAGTACAATTAAACAAACAATCCTTTTGTTATTGCAAATATAAAATGTAAAAAATCAGGCTAAAAAGCTGTGAAACACAATTTCATGATTATTTTTCTATTCAATTCTATACACAGTTTATATGTTGTGTCCTATAAGAACTCGTATGGAATACATACTAAATATGTTTTTTTTTTTAAGTGGATTATATAAATTTATTACCTAAATAATGTAAAGCACTTTTTTTGTAATTCATAAGGATATTTATTAAATTATTTTCAAGTATATCCAATATAGTATTACTAAACTAAGGTTCTATAATTAAACATTACACATTATTAAGACTGTAAGATGGATCTCATGTCATTCTCTCATAATTAATTGGAAATGTGTACATCTAAATGTTTAATGAAGGGCAATGTGTTCCATAGTGTAATTTTTGCTTTTGTGACTTAGCCATAGATACATATGTTTGTTAACATATTTTGTTATTTTTTTCTTATTTAATAACAAATATTTTAAATAAATATTGCTTTAATTTATTCTATTTGTTTGTATTACTTTTTGAAAATGCAGGAAATTTGTTTATGGATGAAAATGACATTGCACCCACTTTTACTAATGATTAGAGATGGATAATATATGGCAATATCTATATATTATAGTTACAATATCTATATATGGCCATATATAATAATGAATATATTAAATCTTGGTTATTCAATATATAATACGAAATAAAGAACCCGATGGAAAAGAATACAGATATTTTACTAGTATGGGTGATATTGAAATAGGTGATAACATTTTTACTGCCAACAATGTCCAGAAGAACCCAGTATATATATCACTAGATCTCAAAAAAGTATCCTCATTACTAACAATTCTTCCCTCCCAAATACTGGAAACTAGTTTGTAATCTTGACGCATAGGGCCATAGATTGCCTGCTTGCTCTTTCTATGCTTCACTATTTTTTTTTTACAACACAGAAGGCAAACGAGCACACCTGATGGTAAGTGACTACCGCCACCCATTGTCACCCACAACACCTACGGCATTGCAGGTGTACTGCCGGCCTTTTAAAAAGGAATATGCTCTTTTCTTAAAGGTTATGTTATCGTATTGGTTCGGAAATACTGCTGCTGGAAGTTGATTCCAAAGAGTGATTGTGCGTGGGAGACTATAAATTCAACTGTATAAACCATAGACTCAGTTTACCGTACTAATAATCTAAGGCAGGGCTGTCCAAACTTGGATATAGAAATGACAAAATTCATTGGGGGGCCGCAAAATATTATCATTATTTTGTTATTGTATTACTTTTTCATTAATTTATCCTTTACAATTCTGTCAACATCAATATTGGTAGTAGCTAGAAAATATTCGACAGGCCGTATCAATTCAAGCCACGGGCCATAGTTTGGACAGCTTTGGTCTAAAGTATCGCAATTATTGTCAATACAAAAAGTAGAGAATCCACGTAAGCATGTCTCAAATTTCCGCAGGATTATAGAATAAAATCTGAAACTTCCTTATTGGCAGAATGTATTTGAATGAACTTTAGTATTTTATCCAGGCAAACAAAAGCAAAAATGTTAAACATGTCTACATATCTGATATTTTAAATGCAATGGGCGAGTTATTTGTTAATAACAGGAACTTGTTGCATTGCTAGCAATAAGTCACGTCATCTCCATGCATCATGTTACCAGCCCATATTTTTTTTTATCGAAAGACAATGGAATAATAACCCCGCCTGTGCTAACGGTATAAGCTGGCAACAGTAAATAATGATATATGAGAATGAAAAGGCATCTCAGCCGATCGTAATGAATATACCTGGAATTCAGCACGATGGTTTCTAGGAGGGAGCACGTGACGGTCGACATGACAGGGTATATTGCTAGCAATGGGACTGATAATTTGCATTACTAACAATTCCTTCTCCCCTACCAGCCCATATTAACTTACTGCTGGATATGCCTCTATTACTCCATGACGTCCATACGATCTATAGCTACTGTGGATAAGGAATAATTGAGGATGCTTCTCCGACCAGTCTGGTTTACATCCAAGCAGTCTCTTCAGGAAACTATTACAGTTAATTCCAAATACTGAACTGCAATTACAAAATAGAGTACCATAAAATGAAAATAATAATAACTTAAAATCATTTATTGATATTCGTTGAGAAAGTAACACTTATAAATAAAAAATCCGCTGTAAATACATAATATTGCATTTGACTGTCTGCTAAATTAAGCATTTACATAGCCTTCACTTTGAGTTGCTTCATTTTGGGAGTCTTGCGTTTCTTCTCGCGTTTTTGTTCTTTCAGCTCCCAACGGCGCTGTTTCTCTGGATCATCCTCCTGTCAAATAAAACATATGCTACAATTAAATGAAATATAATTTGCACATGTCTCTACATATCATTCTACAACGGTAATAATTCAATATATAGTTACTTCTAAATTTTTTTATCCATGTAGAATTCCAAGAAAGAAAACACCCTTTCCACATTCCTCATCTTACTGCCACCACCTCCTCTCTCCCTTCATCTCCCCTCCTCGAAATCCTCTCTTCCTTATAAGGTTTGATGATAAGGGGAAGGAATTGTTAATAATGCAGACAACTAGTCCCATTGCTAGCAATATACCCTGTCAGGTCGACCTCCACGTGGTCCCTCCCTGGAAACCATTGTACTGAATTCCAAGTGTATTCACACGATGGGCCAAGTGACCTGCCTTTCATCCTCACATATCCCTTACTGGTGCTCCGCCAGCGTATACCGCTAGCACGGGCGAGATTACTATTTCATTAGCATCCATTAAAAAAAACCCTTCCCTCTTCATTCTAACTTTCAAATCCAACCTTGCTGCTCTTATAAATGATAGAAAATAATTCTCTCGAATCATAGTGTAGCAGTGATACTAACAGCGAGGATGCGTTCCTTCTCCTGCTTGCGTTTCTCCTCCCGTCTCTGAGCAGCTTGCTCTTGGCGAGCAGCGTGTGCACCTCGCAGCCACGCCTCAGCCACCTTTTGACGACGCTTTTCACACTTCGCCAGTGCCTGGAAATCATAATGTTGATACCAAACATTTAGTCCCTTTATATATAAATATCAAACGTCTAATAAATCTATTTTAGCTATTGAATATTGTATTGCCTTTTTCTACCGTTCTGATTTTTCAATATGAAAGAAAGTAACAAAAATTAATAATACGTAATAAAATATTGATTTAAAAAATTAGATTTGTTTCCTTCAAATTTTTTTGCATAAATAATGTTTTAATTTTAATGGATATCAGATGTTTCGCAAACATTAATTACATTAAACGTGTTTGAATTTAGAACGTAAAAAATCAGTTCAAATTTGACGACGTAATAACCTAATACAGTTTAATTAATTAATTAATTTATATAACTTAATTTAATAATTTATATCTGGTACAAAATAATATTATTAAAATTTTGTGGGCCCTAGTTGTCTTGATTAAAGAATTTATTTATTATTATTATATTATAAACATGAAAATGACAATTATAAGATTAATTAAAAAAAAAAATAGTCACAACAAAATACAGTCAAGATGAATAATTGCAGAAAAAACTCCTTCAAAGAAGGAACTTATTAATTAGTCTGTAATTTGAAGTTGTTTTCTCCTAAGTTTAAAATGCATCCAGCATTCGGGTACCCTAAACATAACCTATGTTCAAGACAGAAAATTGTACAATGAGACAAACAGATGATAAACAAACCTCCTTGCTCAATCTCAGCCGCTTGATCTTCTCGAGGAGGTGGAATACGAGCAGCAGCAAGGGGCGCACCTCGTCGCCGCCGCCGTCGGGACCCAGTGCCAGGCTCACCAGCATCACGCGCTCCGTATCCGGGGGCTTCGTCGCCACTGTCTCTCTAAACATATTATAACGCTAACTGTATCCCATGACGTTATCCGCGTGAAATAGAATAAAAGGTTGTTATTATTATAATAGCTGTTAAATGGTCGCGTACAACGCGGTTTCAGAGTGAGTGTTTCTCCCACAAACACTCAGGTTATGGAATGAGCTCCCTGCCGAGGTTTTCCCAAGAGACTACAGCATGACGTTCTTCAAAAGGGGGATAAAGAGGTTTTTTCAGGGTCGGCAACGCGCGCGTAATACCTCTGGTATTGCAGGCGTTAATAGGCTACGGTAACCGCTTACCATTGAGTGAGCCGTATGCTTATTTGCTACCTCAGTGGTATAAAAAAAAACTGTCTACTATTAAGCATAGACCTCTTCATAAGGGAGGTTTCGCCAGTAATTGTCACACTTGGCAGGCGGATTGGCAACCTCAGTTAGGCTTTGGTAATAATTAAGAAGGGTGCTGCTGCTCATCCCTCGACCATTAAGTTCTTTCAGTCGCCTCTAACGACACCCACGGGAAAGCAAAATGTAGCCCACTCTATACCCGGACCACGAAGCATAAAAAGTTATCTATTTTAAATTCTCAACTGGGACTTAACGCGACGTAATTACAGGTAAATAGTATATATACAATTTTTATAATCAACAAAAATCAATCTGAACGGTCGGAATTGTGTGTAGTGCATAGATAGAAATGAATATTTACTTGATGTGTGTAGTTCGATATCTATATATCGCAAATAACTGTATAAATACTCATTGGATCTAATCCAGAGTAGAGGCTGAAGTTTTATTTAGTATAGTATATAATAATAATACTTTTGATTTCAGACCATTATTGTCCATTATTTTTAGTAACAATTTTCCTATAGTTTATATCAGTAAATTTTGCACACACATAGACATACGAAACAATTAATATAATTGTAAATCACCATTGTACAATTCTACTAGAAATAGCACAGTAATGATTAATGTACACACATTCGAGCCTGTTCACATTCATACTCAGGATCCTGTTGGCAATAACACATACTCTGCACAGATACAGAGATGAGAAGTTACAATCAGAGTTGCGGGTAGTGCGGTATATAGATATGTATAGGTGTGTACTCACTCGATCTGCTTGGGCCCCGAGTAGCGGTCGGAGATGTGTATGTAGTGCAGGTGGTGCGCGTACTGCGCCAGCGCGGCGGTGACGCGCGCGTCCAGCAGCGCGGCGGTGGCCTCCGCGCACTCGGACAGCACGCCCAGCGCCGCCGGCAGCCCGTGCTTGTCGCCCGCGCGCCGCTCCGGGCAGAACACGCTCTGTGTTACATACATACATCTTTAGACTTATCTTTATCCAGAGGAAGACTTTGTACAAAAGTCGATTGCTTGGGTACCTCTGTCCCATTCGTGTTTCAACCGTGAAGCAGGTGTTTGCATGGCTGTGTTTCGGTTTGAAGGGTAGGATATGGCGTGAATTTACTGCGTACAGAGGAATAACATCTGAGTCCTCAGGAATGGCAACGCATGGGGGATATCATGGGCGAAACAGTATACTCTGTTATGTCCATGGTACTGCTCATGTTTATAGGCGACGGTTACCACTTTCCATCAGGTGGACCGTCAGCTTGTTTGCCATTCTAAGTTGTATAAAAAAAAAAGGTTTTTTTTGATAGATGAAAATGGAATGGTAACCCCGCCTGCGATAACGGGATACGCTGGCGGAGCACCAGTGAAGGGTGATAGATGAGAATGAAAACAGGCCAGTTAGCCCATCATGATGAATTCATTAGGAATTAACCATGATAGTTTCCAGGAGGAACCACGAGGAGGTCGACCTGGTTGGGTATATTGCTAGCAATGGGAGCAGTCTCCATTACTAAGAATCCCTTTCCCCCTTACATCTTTAGGTTACATCCACCTCACCATTCTCAGTCTAGTAAGTACAAACAGGGGGGAGAGGGATTGTTAGAAATGGAGATTAGTAATCCTATTACTAGCAATATACCCTATCAGGTCGACCTCCTCGCGGTTGCCCCTGGAAAACATTGTTGTTAATTCTAGTGTAATTCGTTACGATGGGCTAAATGACCTGCTTTCATCTTTACCTATCATCCCTCACTGGTTTCCCGCCAGCGTATACTATTAGCGCAGGCAGAGTGACCATTTTGTCATCACCTATTAAAAAAAATGTACAGACATACAACCATATCACTCTTAAAACAAATAAACTTAGCTTCGAGTCTAAAGCAGATAAAAATACACATACCAAATCCTGCATCTCCTTCGCAAGCCTGGTGGCGATTTTCTTCTGCGCAACACAGAGCACGAATGGGTCGCTATCATCTTTGCCAAGTTCCACTCGCACCAGCAGCGTGTCTGTCGTTGGTCGCACCAGCCCTAGCGCTACGTGCACCAGGTCTTGACGCTGATAATAATAAATAAATGAGACTGAATATATTATACAGCCAGCGCCATCTAGTTTCTAACTAAGCAGACCTTGTATTATAGGTACTAGACAATTATGACATTTCTTTAATACATATTGTACACAATAGTAGGAATTCGAAAAATCAATATTAAAAGAGAAATAGCAGAAAGTCTGTAAGGATTAATACAGTTGGCATCTGATATGCTTGGTTTATCCTAGAAAAGACTAAACTTGACTAGATTTTTTTTTTATTTGTACAAAGGCAAACAAGCTGACGGTCAACTTGATGGAAAGTGGTTACTGTCAACCATAAACACTTGCAAAACAAAGGTTGCTAGTATGTTGCTGGTCATAATATTCATTCACAATTTATTTCACATCATTCCCAACTTGCAAATGAGAGAGATAATGGAGCAAGGACGGTGACTACCTTGATGAGCTTGAGCGTGAGCAGCATGCCCTCGCAGCAGAGGCGACCACTGCACCACATGGTGAAGCAGTGCTCGGCCTCGCGCCGCCAGCCGCGGTCTTCCGCCGCCACCACTTCCGGGCCCGTCTCCCCTGAGAAACAATATATGGATGATTAGGCGCTTACCACAATAAGAACAAAATGTATGCATTAATAATACAGAGACTAGACATTTCCATAAGTTTGTTCCACATTTAATTTTTTAGATCCTTATACGTAATTGTATCTAATTTCTAAATACACTCACATGACTGTATTTGGATTTGAAGTGAAATAATTTACCAGAGAAATTACTGAATATTGAGACAACACTTTAGCCCTTAGAAATGGCAATGTATCAAGAGCGTCAGAGGGACGTCCACAATATTATTGATGTTTATAGGCGACAATTACGAACAGCTAGTATATTTTGTTCTGTAAGTATATAAGCGGCAGGTACCACTTTACATCAGGTAGGTCATCAGCTTGTTTATGCCCAGTAGTAAAAATAAAATAACAATACAGAAAAAAAAAATATTTACCGACTAATGTAAAATTATCATCTAATAATGGCTTATGTAACTTCAAAAAGTTGATCGCAATGGATGTATTCTTTGCGCGACCGACTGCGTATGCGAGGGCGTACGCCGCTAGAGTGCAACACAGTATGCCTTCCAGCCAGTACGCGTCCCAGCGCGGCCGCACTAGAATGGGAACCTGCAATAATCAACTTTACTCAGCACGTAATATGGTTAATAATATCTCCAGCTTGGGATCTGTACCCATGGCTAGTAACACCACAGGCATCAATTACTAGTAACTATATTTACCTTATAAATCTAAGCAAATATACGGTTATAAAGTAGAAAACTATTATCTTTAAAGATGTCCTTTTGATGCTAACTGTAACATCATTGGTAAAATCAAATTATCATTGGATGAAACTTACGGAAGGAAAAGCAGTTATTCTGTAGGGGTAATAAGACTGGATAATACACAATAAATTATATAATTATTATTAAATAAAAAAATGAGCAAGTATTAAAAATTGTTTCTCAAACTATATTTAGAATCTAATGTCACGCGAAATATTAATAATTACATAGTCAATTATATCAAAACTGTACCAACACAGAGGTATATATTAATGTAATAATAAAGACAGCTGCTATTATTCTCTTTGATAACATTTTAAAGAGATAGAAACAGTTTATTTCGCAACAAAATTATAATTTGAGCAGCCAATTAATGCTTGCATCACTTGCACATTAACAGCACATAAATTTGATCACCTTAGTGGCAGAGATATGTGGCTATACTGAACATTGCTATCATAGGTATCATTATCATCCCAGTATTTATTTTATATATTTAGATAGCATACCTTTGAAATAGTAATCTTTGGTGTTTCAGCTGTCCGTGGTGCACTGTCTTGGAATCCTTCAAACTCCTCAGGATCTTGGAAGTGCTCAAATTCATTATCTTCATCCTGTTCAATCACATATTATGGAACATGTTGGTCTATCTTACAATTAAAATATTCATCACAAATTGTAAAAAATATTTTATATCAAGCAATATCAAAAAAAAAAAAATGCTAAGATTTAAAATTATATTTTTATTAGTTACTTTTATTAATCAAAATGTACTTTATTAATAACCTCTGTGAAGTGAGTATTTTTTATCAAAAATATTTTCATAACAAATTTCATTATATAAAAAAAAAAAAACAGAAAAGACAAAAAGCCATGTATGTAAAATATATGATGTATAAACATGAAAAATAATTCATTTCTAATTATTATTATTTAATAAATAAAATATTTAAACTGCTATGTTTGCATTAGTTAACTACCTCATTTCTGAAAAAATATTTATCACAAACCTCAACCAGTATTTCATCTTCTATATCTTTGTCAGATTCAAAAGGCTTCTGCACTGGGACATCTTTGGTCTCTTCATGGAAATCTGTTCAAAATAATGAACTATAAAAATAAAAAACAAATCTCTTAGCATACCCTTAATTTTGTGAATAATGTAACATTAATATTTAAGAAAACTGAATAAAATAATTTTTACACACATATTTTATATATATAACTCAAGCAAGCAACAATTAACATCATAATTTGATTTTAATGACACATATCAGCTATTGTCTGTCTACTGATTATACTATTATTATATATACTATATATATATATATATATGAATATATATATATATATATATATATATTCATATATATGAAGACAGTAAATACAAATGCATCTACTGACTCACTACAATACATTCATGTCATCACACACTGTATTTGCCTGTATGGGATTGCCACTCAAGAGCCTTTCTTTCCCCTTGGTTGTCAGATCTTCAAGCTATGTGACCAACCCATTGCCACTTCAGCTTGTTTATCCTTTAGACTAATGATTCATATATTAAGTAAATATTTATAATAGTTCAATGCTGACATCTTGTACAATGTCCTTCTGGAAATTGAACACAAAAATGATACCTGTCACGGGTACATCATCTTCTGCATCAAATTGCTCAAACTCTGCGAAATCATCATCCTCCAATGTGTTGTCTTCATATGCCTTTACCATGCACACACCACAGAGGAGCAGTGCTATTGGTAACAGCACTGAACGCATGTTGGCTCTGAAACAATTTATGAGCATAACAATATTGTGATTATAAGAGGGAAAGTTGTTAATGTTAGGGACTTGACAACATTGCCAGCAATATACCCCCCTCTTAGGTTAACCTCCCCCTGAAAACCGTTGTAGTTAATTCTTATGATATTAATCATGTTAGGCTAACATGCTTGCATCCATCCTCACCTATGACCCCTCACTGGTGCCCCATAAGTATATACCAACACATAGTGCAAATTTACATTTCATTATAATATCATAAAAAGTAATTAAAAAATATGATTACTATACTTATAAGCACTTGTGTCAGAAAACAAAGCAAGATATTATGAAAAGATATATTAAAGTTGATTATTTTTTACATTCACTTTTTTTAATAGTATATATTAACCAAACCCAGGCTCCACATAATACTGTAACATTTACTTTTTAATATATTTTATTATTTACATACAATTATATTACCATTCATATAATTTTTAACATGAATATCTGTATGATGAATAGCACGGTAACTAGGTTAAGTGAATACAGCATTCATAATGCATTAGTGACTGTAACTAAAAAAGAAATTAAAATACAAACAATATTGTAAGTAGGTACAGGTAATCTTATCATACAGCCAAGGTTATGTTTGATGATTTTATACGGTTTCCATGCTTTATTCCCTAAAATATATACTGAACGCTAATTTTCGCATGTAAGTAAATTGAAAAGCGAACTAATATACATTATATTTATGTAAATAATTATAATACATTATTTATAATTATTTACATTAATCAAGTAGCAATTGAACAGTAGGTAATTAAGACCATGATAATTTTTCGAGAAAAATTTACTATTTTCTTCAATTTGAACAATACTAAAATGACAATTTACTTTCGTCAATTAAACGCACTTCATAACATATCGTTACATCTTCATTACATTTTCTTTTAGAGTAATCCAGGTGCTCTAAATATTTATTCTAGGAATTATGTGACACTGAAAATTTGCTCTACATTAGTAACACCTTCACATAAAAAGGTTATAATATTTTGATATTTAAAAGAAAATCCATTACCTGTTAGCCTTTTATTACCAAATATATAAAAGTAATTGCTTCATTCACTTAATAATTAAAATATCTTATAACATTATTCAAGAATAAAAACTAATACACTTTATCACAACTCATATAAATCAATTAGTTTCACTTGAACGCTCGTTCAAACTTCTCACCTATTTTATTTTAAAACACGGTTGTGATTCGTCAGAAAATGTAAGTAGGTTTTACCATAACCAATAAAATAGTTTTAAGTTGAAACACTGAATTTGTAAATGAAAACACAACCTTAATAGTGGCGTCACACGTCACAAGACAAAAGTGACAATAAAGTGACGAATCTGATAGCTACAGTACATAATTGCTAGTAAGAAATAATTTAGTGTTGCCAAATAAATCAAGTACTACTAGTTGAATCTGAAAACGTTTTGGTCATTTAAAACAGATTAAAGAGCCGAATATTGCACTTAGTGGCATGCCTTGGGACAGGTTAATGTCCAATGGTATACTACAGTAGGTTTATGATAATGATAGTATAAGAAATCTTAAGAAGAGCAAAATAAGCAAAAAGAATTTTTAGAATTTTTATCTGTCTACTAAAAACTATTCCATTAAAATTGGACACGATATTCACATTCATATTCCTAAAGATCTAACATAGAAATACAAAGTCGCAGCCTTAAACTAAAAACGTAGGCTCTAAATGTTACATTTGTAAATCATTGGTATGCGTCAAATAAATATTTTCTTTCTTTCCAAACAAAGAAAAGTATGTGTTCGTTGTTTACGTGTACAGCTATAAGTTATGTACAAGTATCTAAGTAACTATAGTTATTATATATATTTTATTTCGCCTCATACAAAAATTCAATTACTATTCACAAAGCTTTATGCAAATCGATGACACTCGCACTGCCGTCATCGACCGGCGATCTTGAGGTCGTCAATAAATTGTACAGTAACTAAGCTGTAAAATACTTTAAAGTTAAATGTGATCTTAACGACGCTTGTTATAAGGAGCAACATGCAATAAAACATGCATATCGTCCTAATTAGGACTTGGAATCATCCAACATAAATAATAATTATATTTATCAACAGTCAGTCTATACGAATGCACAGACACATTAAGGGTTTAATTTTTTTTTAGATCAGACAAATAGTGTATTTTTTTATACATATCATCCTTCTGCCCTTATCCCAATTATTGTTTGGAGGTAGCGTAATATTATATATAAGAGTATAAATAACTAAAAATTATAACTATAATATGACTAGGTTTTTTATTACATACAGGACAAAACGAGCATACAGCTTATCTGATGGTGAATTACTATCACTGCCCATGAGTATCTGTATATCACAGTTCAATAAATTCTTTCCCAAAAAAAAAAATACATTTTTTTATGTGTGCGAATTCCGTATTTAATTATTTTACTCATAAAATGTCACATACCTAAGTAGATGTTAAGTTGGAGTTTGAATAATAAGGACAGTGACATTTGCAGATCGGATTTAAATCAAGTTAGCATCGTTCAAAGACCTTCATTTTATGACAATGGATTGTAATCAATCCAAAACATGTTTTAACAATACAGTTTTTATCAATATAGCTATCAAAGATTATAAAATGTATTACAAGCTTCAGCTGCTTTATTTATCGGCTCTCTATTCTCTCTCAAAGATTGTCTGGAATAGATTGCATTAGTGGTTAAACCGTATTTTGTATTTCCAATGGCTTCCAATATTTTCTATTTAAGTATTTTATTTATTGTTAGAATAAAGTGTCACCAAATAACTAACAAAATAAAACTTAAAATCCAACCCGTGTTACATACTATCACTCCAATTGATATACCCTCAAAATATTAGATTTTTATTCAAATTTTATTCAACTCAGTGCATCCTATGTGTTTAATTTAAGAACTGCCTTACAGAATCCTTTCGATCATAGTGGGTTCGATTTACTTCGATCTCCGTACAGTATGTAAACTTTGTTCTTATGAGTCTATTTGAATTGATTGTAGGAGTGTTTATATGTTATAATATACCTATGTATTTAGAAAATAAAGATTTTAGTATGTATATCCATTATCTAATACTTACTTATGTTAGAATCTTTTAATATTTCTTTTCTACAATAGATACCGTACTTATTATTCGCACTAGACTATTTTTTAAATGTGTGATGTAGGATGTACGATGTACGCTGGCGGGGCACCAGTGAGGGATAATAGGTGAGGACAAAAGTTGGTCAGCTAGCCCATCGTGACGAATTGCTCTAGAATTAACCACGATGGTTTCCAGGGAGAACCACATGGAGGTCGACCTGATAGAGTGTATTGCTAGCAATAGGGCAGTTAGACCCCTTTACTAACAATCTCCCCACACTAGACTATTAGATAAATATACATATTTATTCATTTTATCGTTTATTTATAATTAATTTATACACAAGAAATATACAACATAAGTACATTGGACCCCGCATTAGGCGAACATATAGCGAAATACTTATGCATTTATTAAAACAAAATTATGAATGTTCAGCATTCCTTTATGGGCCACAAAATACCTAAATGGCTGCGTAGGTAATTATTATAAAGTTAAATACATTAAGTTGCCTTCGAAATTAATTCGTTATTAGCTAATATTACGGATGTGTATATTATATTCGGTTATTTATATATACGTATATACAAATGTGATATAGATATAAAAAAAATATTTACGTACTTATGTACAGACGAAATTTCTAAGCTTGTAGACATGTTTACGAGTCTATTTGCATTTCAAAACATCTACATAGTTATTTTCAGAATTTCACTTCTATCATTAAAGCAAAAGATTTTTTTATGAATAAAATAAAATTACTGCTTGTCAGTTCTATTAACCAGTTTATGCTCGTAAGTTACCAGTGAAAAAGTGACGAATTCAAGGTTTCCTAGGGTCCCCATGAAAAACACCTGCAAACTCTTTCAGATACATCTCTAATCAATATACAATCCAGGTTAGGTAAAAAGTTTCAACGGCGAGCTATGAGAATTATCGATGATCCCAGGCTCACAGGCGGTATCGAACCCTTAAATCTTAGGAGAGATTTTGCCTCACTGTGCGTGTTCTACCGCCTGTACAATGGATTGTGCTCAGAGGAATTGTTCAATATGATGCCCACAGGGCATTGAGGATTGCTTCAAAAGGGGGGGTAAAGAGGTTTCTTCAGGGTCGGCAACGCACGCGTAATACCTCTGGTATTGCAGGTGTTCATAGGCTACGGTAACCACTTACCATCAGGTATCATCAAAAAGTAAGGTTTATTCGCTTTTATCTTGGCCCGGCATAGAATAGGCCACCCCTTCCTTTCCCGTGGGTGTCGTAAGAGGCAACTATAAGAACTTAATGGTAGAGGGATGATCAGCAACGCCACTCTTAAAACATCACTAAAATCCTAACTACGGTTGCCAACCCGCTTTCCAAGCGTGGCAGTTACAGGCAAAACTCCTCTTATAGGAAAGGCTTATGATCAGCAGTAGACAGTTAATGGCGGAAATAATTCGCTTTCATCATCTAAGCACTGATTAAATAGATAAATTAAAAAAAAAACCTTAGCAAATAATGAAACATAGAACTAATAAAAGTAAACAAACACGTAGTTATTCAATCTCTGACTAATCTAGCTTCTTACTTCTCACAGTATCTTAAAAGCATATCGCAGTTATGTAGTATTAGTTTATCGGATACCTTTAGCAATTTTATTACAGAGACTCACTAAACGGGCAGAACAAATGGTGTTCATCCATTTATTATTACCAAGAACAGAATATACTGATATCTTGAGACTGGATTCTCACGAGAACTGAGAAAAACAAACCCATACTAATTTTGTCCCCATTGAAGTCAATTATTTTTTATGCATAAAATTTAAAATTATACCCAGTTAGTCCTGTCGTCGTTTGCTCTAAACCTGGCTGAGAACCACTTAGCAGACGTAGACACACCGGTCCAGACTAGCTCCAGTTCAAAATATAAATATACAACTGCAAAACCAGTTTCTACAGATCTTGAACTTGATGAAGGCATTTCAAGTAATGTATTACAAGTTTTATAAATATTGTGTTTGTATAAAATTTAAGAGATTTAAGAGAGAAAACCAGTTATTTTGATTTCATAACTAAACTACTGTACCAATTTGGATAAAATTTCTATGGAACTAATCTGTAAGTATATCCTTTCAGATAAATAAAGAATTTTTCAAGTCGGTTTATAATTGATGGAGTTATGGAGTTATACATAAAAAAATACAATCGAATTGAGAACCTATTTCATTTTGAGTCGGTTGAAAATAATAAACAAGATATTTATAACTTTAATGTACATAATCTTTTTTTTTTTAATTCTTAAAAAATACAGGTACACAGGCATAACACATGAATGGTGTAACGGACGACACAGTATACTCTGTTATGTCCATGGTACTGTTCATGTCTAATAGGCAACGGTTTCCACTTTACAACAGATAAGTCGTCAGCTTGATTGCCATTTTAAATTGCATAAAAAATGATTGTTTACTAAATTTACCAGAAATATTTTTTATGCGTACTATATCTTTTTAAATTCTAAACCGAGTTTGACAATTCTCTCTGCAATTGATAGAATTTACTCCCATCTTGTTCCCATAGGTACAAATTGTGTCACAATTACTGTTTTTGTTTTATGCGACAGTGTTTAAATTTAATATTGTTCTGATGGAGCTCATATTGGTTATCACAATGATTGTATTATTTACTCTATTTTATTATGTATTTAAATGCATTCCCAAAAAGAGTTTACGTCAGGCAAGTGCCCGACCCTAAAGCCAAAACCTTGGGTAATGCATAAAAACATATCACGTCGACCCCAAAAATATTAATGGGATAAAAATAGGGAGATCATGATGATCATTTATTATTACACTTTGCTGACACTAAGCAATATAGGTATTTAAATTAAAATACAGTTACCAGTCCCGGTTTATCATCGATTTATTAATGAGGAACAAGTTTCGCGCTGACTGAATAGGTAGTCCAGTTTTTTAACAAAGATTTTTTAATATCACCCGTTTACAGCAGTGTAGGTAGCTAGTTCCTTGACGTATTTGTAAACAAGTAGGTATGTATATTTTGCTTCGCAAAATAAGTGACTTAAATTATAAACATAAGTCGATAATGACGAGATGTTTATCATTGAAAATATTTTATTTTTTTATTTTGTGTGTTTCGCAGATTTTTAAGAATATATCTTGACGCACACTTAGGTATGTTTTTTTGCACGCGGAACTGCATGTTTACAATTTTTTTTTCATAATAAGCAGTTTATATGTCCTTTAAAAATAATTTAATAGGACCAATATGGACATAAACTCTATTGATAGCTAAAAAATTATAAAAATCTCGTTACATAGTAACGAAAAAAAAATGTAAATGTATTGGAACCTTTCTTCTGTTGAATGATTCTTAAAAATACATAATTAATATTTACAGAAACTTAAGATAAAAAATACGAAACAAGTCGTTAGACTTGTGGATGAATAGTGATAAGTAACTGAATCTATCATGCCACCTATGGCACTCCGATGGATTTTTTTTACTGAGTGACAGTGGAATGGTAACCCCGCTTGTGGTATTGGTATACACTGGCGGAGCACCAGCGAGGAATGACTAGTGAGGATGAAAAGGTCAAAAAGTTTGGCCATCGTGACGAATTCAATGATAAATTAGTCACGATGGTTTTCAGGGGGAACCCCGTGAAGGTCGACATGATAGTGTATATTGATAGCAATGGGGACTAACCTCCCCATTAATAACAATCTCTTCCCCCCAGTCGCTACTATTAGATATCAAGTAAAATTTTAATGAATACCGAACTAGACACGCTGCGTATTTCTTGTTTCCGGAATCAGGAAATGAGAAAAGGAAGGATACTTAGCGCAGCAAGTTAATTATTTTAACAACGTGATGGATCAAGAAAATTTTGTTAACGATAATTATTATTCGATTTTGCCCAACCGCTAAAAAAATGAGGTTTTTCAGATAAGTATGGCCAGGTTTTTAGCATACATTTATATTTATTTACATTATAGCATTACCTACAGCCTAACTGAGTTTTAACATTCGTAAAAAGAATGTTATTAAAATAAACTTTTGTGGGAATGTTGTTTTACATGACAATAGATTAAATTAAATATAGCAAATCAAAAAATACTTTATATATACATATGCTCACGACTATAATCCCTGACGTTTTTTACAAAAATTACATACACGCTTGCTAGCTTGCGAGAGTAACAACTATGCGGAGCATCCACCTTACACATGTAATGATATCATAGTTATTACAAAATGTAAATACCGTGTCGCCCATGGCACACCTCATGCGTAACCTTCCTCAACACGCAATATTTCCATACAAAACCGAAAATTCTTTTACCTTCTCATGAGTATAGGGTTTTTTTTAATGGTTGACAATGGAATTTTAGGAAGGGTGGGGATTGTTAGTAATGCGGACTACCAGTTCTATAATTAGCAATATACCTTGTCAGGTCAACCTCCACACGTTCCCCCTAGAAACCATCGTGCTGAATTCCAGGTGTATTCAATACGATGAACTAACTGACCTGCCTTTTCATTCTCACCTATCATACCTCACTGGTGCCCCGACAGCGTATACCGGTAGCGTGAGCCATTGTTATCTATTAAAAAAATAGTTAGGTAAAAACATAAAATAGACAGATATAGTAAAATTATTAACGGATAGACTTAACAATTTATTATAGTATATTAAAACAAAAATCGGGATGAGATATAGGTAACCTTGTTTATACGAACCGTTGAATTAAGAATTTCATCTATAAGAGAAAAAAAACAATTTCGTAAAGCTATATTAAGGTTTATATTACAATCGAACCTCTAAAATAAAGCTGATAAAATTTCACGGAACATGGTGAATCAGTCCGATCCGGTCCATATAAAGTCCCCAAAGGCCATGATCATTGCCAGTCGTTTGTGGTTGCGCGCGAACATACGTCGTCCATTTTATATTTAAGATTTTTTTTTATATATTTTTTTTTAATTTCCGCCACGATGGCGTCAGCCGTGATTAAGTTTAGTGCCATAATGATGCTAATCGGCGTGTGTGCAGCTGATGTCTGTTAGTATTGTTTTTGTTACTTCTTTTCTTGATTAATTTTCACGACCATAGTAAAATAATATATTTAAACTGTTTTATAGTATACCACTCATTATATATAGGCCAGTACTCAGTTTTTTCTGCTTCCTCTATCAGAGAACTGGCATGAAGATAATACACGAATCAATCGTTAGGAAATTTGAAAAATATGAATTGCCTTAGTAGATGCTGGTATGCCTTTGTAACCGTTAAACACCTGCGAATAAAATTAGAGTTCCACCTATAAATATATATATTTTTACTTTTCTAATCCTTTTTTTATATTTTCTGCCTACTAATCTCTTAAAATACACTTATATTACAGTTCAATAAACTATCGCAAATTATTGATTTTCAATCATAATATCACGTTTTAAGTACAATAGTAATGTATTATCTTGGACGATAGATAAAGGATAGCAACTGGCATTTTCTTTGTACATCCTGGACGCATCACGCAGCGCCATCTAGTACTAAGTTAAGCAGACATGTACAGTGTACTACATGAAATACATAAAATCGTCTACCCCTTCCTATCCTGTGGGTGACGTATCTAGGGATGGGCAGCAGCGTTCCTCTTATTACATCACCGAAGCCTAACTGCGAAAAGTAGCAACTATAGGTAAACCCCTAATTGAGAGGCTTTAATTTAGCAACGAACAGTTATTTACCAATATGATGATGAATATAATGATAAAACTTTAACTTGGATATATCATTTTAATATTCCTGTCTTAGATCTATTTTAAACTATGAAGTATATTCTATATATTATTTTCAAATTCATTGAACTGGTTGCATAGATTTCCTACAAACGTTTTTTGATTAAAAGTGACGTGAGCCTAATAATAAACAAAATAAATCGCCAAAAGCCTGGCCGGTTAAATTAACTAATGCAATTTACATATAACAATAATGGCAAATTAATTATGTAATTAAAACTCAATTAAGATTATTTAAAAATATTATCAGTAAAATTGTGTTTATCGTCACTTAGATAATTAGAAATTCAAACAACCGTAGGGTTAGAAAATTACTATATTTTTTTTATACAACTTAGAATGACAAACAAGCTGACGGCCTACCTGATGGAAAGTAGTAACCGTCGCCTATAGACATGAGCAGTATCATGGACATAACATATTTTATAATTATTGGTTCCATTAAAATGTCATTAATAACAATAAAACTACGTAAGTAAATTAACATAATCATTAATACTAATTCAATCAAGTAACCTCCCCTAAATTAATCATAATGTTTGTGGCTACATGGTTTATACGAAACATCCAAATTTAATTTTATGATACCTAAAATAGTAAACAAGTTGACGATAAAAAGATAAAATTTTTGATTTTACTAGATGTTTTCAAAATTCAAAATTGAAAGAAGATAGATGATTACATAGATACTCTTTATTGTTTTCTCCAAAAGATTGCGGTAATAAACATATTATAAGTACAAATAATCACAAGAAATTATCACACAGAGAAAACAATGTGTTTCATAAACGTAATACTGGGGGGAAAGGGACTGTTAGTAATGGAAGTCTGAAAGCCCCATTGCCAGTGTTTTAGGGTATATTATTATCAGGTTGACCTCCCCGTGGTTCCTATAAAATCTAACCTCTGATACCGCTCAACCGATTTTAATGAAATTATTCTTTATTTTGTTTGCAGCAAACTTGACACATAAGTTTTAATCCAGATAAAAAAAATGGTCCGTAGGTGACTAGTACAGTGCAAAACATAATTTGTCGGTTATCAAGTATTTTTATAAATATTCATACAAATTAAACAAAAAGGCGGTTTTTCTTCCTTGTCACTTATTATAGTTTGTAGGTAGTTATTTATGCTAACTAATAAGCCTGAGTTACATTATTTATGTCAAGTCCAAGATGCAGCGTTTACGCAGTCAAGCACTGACTCATATTGACAGTTCAAGGAGTTATGCAAGTGGTCATGTGCCCACACATTACTTCATGTTAGTTGTTTGATAAAATAATGGTAATCTTGCAAATGTATGCCCCTCGTGTTTACTAACAAAACTTAGCACTGAAAATTGCATAATTTATACGTCTATGACATAAATACATGGGTACGTTGTAGCATTTTTAATATCAAAGAGGATATATAATGTAACAATTATTCAAGTACTTATCTGTGGTATTATGAAGTAATTAAGTCGAGTCCATCTTAACCTAAAAAGAGATGCAAATACTGCAAGTGTTAATATTTATAGCAAGCCACTTGACAACCAACTAACAGACCGACCCACATTGACAATTCATAGAAGAGAGAACTGTTATATTTTGCCTAGTCGATCTCCACGCGGTCTCCATGGAAACCATCATGATTAATTCTTGTCGAATTCATTACGATGTGCTAACTAACAGGCCCGTTTTCATCCTAGCCACCATCCTTTACGGATGACCCTTTTTTTTAAAGGATGATAATGTATTGGCAACTTTGTCCGCTCTAATGGTATACCCTGGAGGGCACTAGTAAGGGATGACAGGTGAGAATGAAAAGGCAGGTCAGTTAGCCTATCGTGATGAATACACCTGTAATTCAGCACAATGGTTTCCAAGGGAGGCCACGTGGAGGTCGACCTGACAGGGTATATTGCTAGCAATGGGATTAGTAGTCCGCATTACTAACAAACCCTTCCCCTCGAGTGCCCCGTTCGGGTATACTAACAGCGCACATGACGTTACCATTCCATTTCCACCCATCAAAGAAAAACAACGATTACCACGTCAAATACTAGGTAACAGTATAAATAGTATGTTTGGATGTTTTTAAGCTGAACTTTAATAACATTTGCTACACATATGAACCTAAATTAGCACATTGTGTATATTCTATCCAAAGTTTCGCGGACAAAGCAGCAGAATACCTCTAGTAACAAAATAATATATAGGTACGGTAGGTAGTGGGTGTGATCAATACCAGAGCGATATAGTGCAAGTGACATTTAACAATATCTACACGTCATCGCAGGATATAATCTTGTCTTTGTTTCCAACTATATACGCGTAATAAATACTCACTGGAATTGGCACGTTTCTTGAACAATAATAAATATACAACGCTTAGTAAAATGATATTTAAATATAAATAACTGTATATCTATACTTTTTTATGCATGGTAATGGAATGGTAACGCTAATCGGTATACGCTGGCGGGACACCAGTGAACTAGGTGAAGGTGTGGAAATAGGTGAAGATGAAAGCAGGCCAGTTAGCCCATCATGACGAATTTCTCAAGAATTAACCATAATGGTTTCCAGGGGAACCGCTTGGAGGTCGACCTGATAAGCTATATTACTAGCGACTGTTAGACCCCATTACTAACAATCCCTTCCCCCCCCCCCCCCCAAGTGTATATCTATGTATACTAGCGATCCACTTCGGCTTCGCACGAGCAGATAGATAGAAAGATACATAATAAATAAATAAAACAAAAAAAATATATTAGTATTTTAAATTCGCGTTAATAGGCAAATTTTTAATGCTTTGAGTTACAATACTGTAATTTTAGTAAGGGTCTCTAATTAAAAAAAAAAGGTTTAACCTATGCTATTTACTAATGATGCAACTTTCAATAGATAAAATATTATTAAAAACAATTAAGTAGTTTTTCACTTTATCTATTACAAACAAATAAATAATCAAATCTTTCCATTTTATGTAGGTATACAACATTATTTAATTTATTTTAGAACCATCTTATTTTTATAGCTACTTACTACATATGTCTTACAAGAAAGGTAGAGCTATGGAGTGCAATCAACTTTTTCTATTGCCCTAAATGGTATCTATTTATTATAAAAAAAAAACGCAACTTTAAAGACATACAATTATAAAAGGTCATTGAAAGACCAGAAGACCAAAACTAGATGAGGATGGAGCCAGGATGTTTCCAGAGAAGACCGTGTGATGGTCGATCTGTTAGACATTGCCAACAATGATGCCGCTAGTCCCCATTGTTTATAATCCTCCCCCCCCCCCCTCCCTTTACATATAGTTGCAGTAATAATAGGTAGTACCTATTCCGACAGCAAGAATGTTATCGGACATGAACCGAAACATAAAGACAAATAGAAGGATCTTAAGAAGCTCTATGTCGGAGGACAAGCTGAAAATTAAATAAATTAGTATTTATAGTGGAAAAAAAGAATGTAATACTTTCAGCAATAAAGATTTTATTATTATTATTATTAATCCGACGCACTCCTAAGCAATTCATGTCTTTAACATGAGTTCAAACATAAATCCGGTTCGTAACGAGTCTCTCTATAAGTAGATCGTAGCTTTATAAGGAGTGGACTTGTCTGACAACATACTCCTTAGATGAGCTTTTCACTTCACTCCACATACACATAAGGTTGCCAGCCGTCCTGTTTTCTCAGAGTACGTTCTGGTTTTTGGAATGACCTGAGGTGTCCTGGATAGTTTTAAGTAGCGCCTTACTAAGGTCATGTGTTATAAATTTCGCGCAAATTTTAAAATTTTCGAGTTGTTTTCGAAAAGTTTTGAATATTTTTATTAAAAAAAGATTCAGATTCTTTATTTATTTTTACTTCAATTTCGTTTAACCTTCTTTTAGTATATGTTATTTAATTATTGCTACTCAATTATTACGTCTTATTTCTAAACTATAGTCCTGATTTTTCCAACTACAAATCCTTGCTTTTGAAATCTGGGGTTGGCAAACCTACATACAGATCATATCATAGAATATAAATAGCTACAGTACCTATCATACGACGACCTCTGGACAGCGGTTGTAGACGTTTTGTTTTGCATTAACAAGGTCACTAATTTGATTCTCAGTAGAGTCGATTTAGGAAATGACTCGTTTTTATTTATATCGGAAATACCTATCAACAATCTTAACACAAAAAAAAAGCTTGTGGTATACAGGTTTCCAATACATATTTAGATATCTTACAATAAAAGCGAACAACAAAACAAATGTTACAAAGATACGCTTTTGTTTAGACACAAATATGTCTAAACAAAAGAAAGTCTGCCTTTATTTAAACTAATAAATTCTATTGCAATATTTTATACATTTTAGCACATAAAATTACAATTAAATATTCTTCCAGCTAAACTAGCAATATTCTATAGGCAAACTCTTTCTCTCAATTAACAGCTGATATGGTGATGATGATTATTCCAGCAGCGAAACGACATTTATTCACTAAGAATTTTATTAAACTTTATTTAGAGAGCCAGTGTATTACAGTGTATTACATTATATTACATACTAAAACAGCCACCTGTGAAAGAATGCATTTAATTCTGTAGATACAACACTATGCCCGTGTGATACCGGATTAAGAATACGATGTGTCATACATCAACTCAAGCACAATACACCAGTACGAGAGCAGGAAAACTCGGAAAAAAAATCTTTATAACAAGCCGCCTCACCAGCTTGGTAAATAGTATTACGATTTTTTATGCGACAAACTGACGTTCCATCTAATGGAAAATGGCAACTATCGCCTATAGACATGACCATAGACGACATAGAATGAAAACTCTGTGATGTCCACTGTACTCCTCTTGCGAAATGAATACGTCATAGAATGGCAATTCCTGACGACTGCTTTTGGACAAAGTCTCACTCTAGCAGCAGTATATTCCTGTTATAGATAGATAGATCTATTTATTGCCAGCAACAAAATAGCTACAGATAAAAAAATAACAACAATAAAAGAATATTTGTACAATTTAATGGTAATAGAAGCCAAAGCGGCTTATTATACACACACCTTCAACGAGATGCACCTATAAAGCGCTGATTGTTCAAGCAGCACCCGAACTCCTTATGACTTCAGCATTCGTGCAGGTCGCGAACACAAATAAGAAGAGATTCTATCTACGAGTATAACAATGAAATATACAATTTGCTAAAATACCATAATGCAAATCACATTAGTCGTGATATTAATATCTATTTCCTCGTATATTTTAACCCTGAATTGATATCGAAGTTCACGATCTGGGATTTCCTACCACATTAACGTAAACTCGGTAGATAATCCGGTTAATATTCATAATATCATATCAAATTTATATGGCCGATATGGAAGACCAGAGCGAATACTTAATTAACATTAAAATACCTACAAAAACAAACTGTTAATAATTGTTAAGTAACTAACTCATTCATCTGAATTGCTAACTTGATAAACAATAATAATTATAAATTTTAGGCTATATATTCGAATAGCGATCAAAGTCAATGTGCTAAATATATTAGTAACAAAAACGAATACATGTAATAATAAATATTAATTAAAAATTCATCACACAAAAGGATTCAAATATTTTTTTTGACGATACTCCATCAAAAACCGAACAAATAAACGATTACAACAACTGGTCCCTGTAATAAGTCACATAATATGTAATTAAGTATATATAGAAAAGTACCAACTATGAGTTGTAATATTGTACATTGTGAATAACCAGGCATTTGTAAATAATGAAAATTATATGGAAATTTATATGTTCAAGTATAAACGGTATCTCTCTGCTGTATTTTACAGAAAAACCGTTTGCTTATGATCTCAAGGTCACTTTTTGTTTCTAAGCAAACATTTCTTTCCGTTCATCTTTATGAATCTCTTCAAGGTTTAAATTTCTTTGTATTCGCAAACTCTTAATTATTAGACTTTTCAATTAACAATACCTATTATTATCTACTAACCTGTTAATTTTTAGCATTTAATTGTCTATATAGTTAAGTAAAATGTTGTGTAAAAGTGTGTTGTGTGTTTAGTAAAGTGAATTCTCGTTCTTATGGTTCTAAGCAGAATTCGCATTTTTGTATGATTTACTTTTCATGTAAATCTACATAGTTAACTATCTCTGTGTTATAGCTCTTGATCTTTGCTCTTTATTCTACACCCAGCATTACACGTACGTAGTACCTTGACCCTTTGGGATTTTTATTGCATTGTACACATTTTGGTGACATTTACATAAATATTTAGTCACTGTGCGCCTTGAATACAAAATTATGAGATGACCTTTAATATGATTTGTCATATAAAAGGTCATCTCACGCCCAAGTAGATATTCTTCAAATACTTACATTTCATTTCTTTGTTGCACATACTTTGTTAATTTAGGTAGGCAGTTATATTACATTTCTTTGTTTAATGAGTACCAAAGATCACAGCCAATCTAATTATTGGACAAAATTTTCCATTTAATCTAGATCATTCCAGTTCCTGTTTAGATTATACCCATTGCAATCCAACCCTGAAATAGATAGCTGCTGGAATTTATCTGAGTATTACAGATATTCTATAAGAATAGAATGTCCATAATGAAAAAGAAAATACTATGGGAATAGCAAATAACTTGATCTACCGCATGGGATGTAATAACTGTCACTTATAATTAAAACTTATCATGGATATCAAAAAGTTATACACTTCAAACACTTTTACGCCTGAAAACTTAAATATTTGTTTATTTTATTTATATTTTATTACAAAAATTACATTGTTTCATAGATTTTCTTGCCGTTTTCACCAACAGACAGTTCTGTATTTCCCATATACCATTCATGATCCTTATATATTCTCGTGAAATATCTAAGAACTTCCAAGCCCAATCCGAAGGAGATATGCAAGTTCGAGCAAACAGCAGGAAGGAAATTAGCTAACTTCTAAATACACAAAAGACTAAGAAAATGTTCCATTTACGATTCTTTCTATTTTCCAGCTGAACTCCCCGAAGTCAAGGCAGCAGCGGCCGCAGCCCCGCCCGTGACTGAGGTTTGTCTTGGCTGCATCTGCCAAGCCGTGTCGGGGTGCAAGCAAGGAACTCAATGCGAAGGAGACCATTGTGGCCTATTCCACATTACTTGGCCATACTGGGCTGATGCCGGGAAACCAACGATTAATGGACTCTCACCTGACGATCCTAATGGTTAGTTTGCAACTGGCACCACATACCTTAATTTTTGTTATCTTCCTATATTTGGCGTATTTTTTGTAGAGGGTGAAATTCGATAGCAATCCTTATTAATATTATAAATGTGAATATGAGCTTGTATATCTGTTTGTTCACCAGAGGGTGACTTTGTACAAAAGTCGATTGCTTGGCATCCTCTGTCCTATTCGTGTTTCTACCATCAAGCAGTTGTGTTTGCATGTCTGTGTTTCGGTTTGAAGGGTGGGAAATAGCAATGAATTTACAGGGTACAGAGGAATAACACCTGAGTCCTCAGGAATGGCAACGCATGGGGGGTATCATGGGCGCAACAGTATACTCTGTTATGTCCATGGTACTGCTCGTGTCTATAGGCGACGGTTACCACTTTCCATCAGGTGGGCCGTCAGCTTGTTTGCCATTCTAAATTGTATAAAAAAAACCTTAACAGCTAAAACAATCACTATTAAATTTGGTACACACGTAGTATATAGGATGGAGAGGAATATAGGCCACTTTTTAACTATATTTTTAAACATATCCCGATCACACGAACGAAGTTGCTGGTAAAATTTAATATTAAAATAACTAATGTCCTCTTGACACAGAAAAACAGCAAAATTAAAGAGGAAAACAAACATTTTAACTCCCAAATAAGTTAATTTTTTTCGTTTGAAGTAAAAATTCTAATTTTTCAAATTCACGTTTGAATAATAATAAAAAAAGATAATTATTTCTTGTTAGCTAAAATAGCAAGAAACAACTGTTTTTTTTTTTTTATTCGCGACTTTGCTCGTATAAAAATTAAAACATAAAATATCCTATGCACCCATATTTTAACTTCACCAAGTTAAAATATAAACCTACCCATGTATTACATCTCTTTCAATTTTGTTCAGTAGTTTTTGAATGAAAGAGTAACAAACATCCATCTTTCGTATTTGTACTGTTAATAGAATTGTTAGAAAATTAAATAATATTGAACGGAAGTTCAACTTAATCTGTTGTTAGAATAATATCGTGACTGTAATCTTGCTACTGCAAACAATTCTTGTTATCTGCATGAGTATGCAAATGTTAAATTATGCATAAATATAATACCTAACACTAGATGATTGATTAAACTTGCCGACTGAGACAAAATGATTACCTGTAAATGAAACAATAATATTTTCCATACGCACAAGTCATCTGTTTCCTAGTTACAAATATATTTTTAACCGACTTCAAAAAGCAGGAGGTTCTCAAATCGATTGCAATTTTTCTTTAATATTCGTCACCTCATAACTCCCTCAGTTCTAAACCGATTTAGTTTTTTTTTTTTTTTTATTTAAAGGATATACTTCCAAATTTGTCCTATAGAATTTTTTATTTTTATTTTATTCATTGTTCACTGTCATAAATATATAAAGTACAATGAAACCAATCGACTTATTCTTTGGTCCTATGTTTCGACGAACACATATATATACAAGATATCGAGCACATGTGATGATAATGATGATGATTGTTCCACATTTTTTGATATTTTATATTTGTATACAACGTAACACGGAGTAAAACTCAGTTGGTGTTTGTTTACTCTTGTCAGATGATCAATTGAAAAATATTATAACATTTAATATTCGAATGTTTTTTTTTATATTATGTTGAATTTTTTTATTATATTATTACGGTACACGATACAATTGTACCGATTTTGATAAATGTTTTACAAACGATAGGCAAAATTGATATATATTTCAATTGAAGTTGATATTTTATTGGATTTCTTTTTGTCTTTTTTTTATAAAATGGGGTCCGAATCATTTACAGTTATTCCTAATAATAAAAATTATCTCTTTATAAATTAAGCATTGTAACATTTTTAAGTTTGTTTTGTATCCATACATAAGATATTATGTCGATTGAATCCGGTCCTCAGCCGGATCTTGTTCATATTATTATTTTTATCCAAGAATACAAAATATAATCATATTAAAAAATATCTTTTCAATCATGATGTCATCCATTCAAGTTAAAAAAAATGTGTTGATGCATACTTTAGTTTGTATTTATTTAATAATATAAGTCTGCGACTTCCGTTTCAAATAATGACGCATTTTAAATCATTCTGCCGCGATTAGTCGTCAAACGTAAATTCGAAATTTTTAGATACCTTTATTTCTACAAATGAAACTAGAGATTTTTCCAAAAGAAACGTAAGTCATACGATAAAAATGTTGAGTCTTCCGTTTACTAACACAAGTGACTCCAGCTATTTAATTAGTACGAGAAGTTTAATATTTTTTGTCATTTCTCGTGTTATATTTCGTTGTTGAAAATTATTCAATTTAACTGCTTTAAAATTTACTTAAAAAAACATAAGGATTAAGATGTCACGCACTATTTCTATTGTTCGCACAGTTTTCGACAGTCATTATTGCTGGTACCAGCCACTTGCTAATAGTAATAACTAAATATTAATGTTACCAACTTGGTACTATTTGGGATCAAACTGCCCTCCCTAAATTAATTGTATGGTTTTTTTTATAATGCATAATTTACAAATATGTGCATTTTATGTTTATTTTATGATTATAATTAATAAGTTACATCATGTAATGTAAGTTTTTATGTTGTGTAGAATTATAGATACCTACTTGTATCTCTATTGAAACTTGTGAAAATAAAACAAAACTTAAAATATTACTAGTGATTACGATTTCTCTACATTTCTTGCTTGTCTCATCTTTTTCGAAATATAAACGTTATAAACTCAGTGATTTACTACTATAACTCATCGTGAGTTCGAAACGTTTGTGTAAATTTAAATTTCTGTCTAAGCTTCCAGTGATGATAACCACATAATCATCACTGTAATTAGAACTTGAAGCGTTTCTAAATTTTTTTTTTTATTTAATGCGATATTGTCGCCAAATCTTTCTTTTTGCAATCTATGGGGTACAATTACACAAGTCAATGTTTACTCAGTACAACCTGACCAGTTTACTCGATATCCCAATGTCAATATTATTGTACCTAAGTTATTGTATCAATAAATATCTGTAATTAATTTCCTTGTTTCCAGCGTACCCCAGTTGCACCAATGACCCGTACTGCGCTGCGCAGACCGTACAAGGCTACATGAAGAGATACGCTCAGGTAAATAAATAGATAAATATAGAAAATCATAATACCAAATCAATATTCATTTCAGCCGTTAACTATCCACTGCTGAACATGAGCCTTCCACATAGAGTTTTGCCACGCTTGGTAAGCGGGTTGACAACCGCAGTTTTTAGAGGTTTTAGAGATGAGGCAGGCTTTTAGAGATGTTTTAAGAGGGATGCTGCTGCCTATCTTTCTACCATTAAGTTCCTTAGAATAGGCCACCCCTTCCTTTCCCGTGAATGTCGTAAAAGCCGATTAAGTGAAGGTAAGGGATAGGTCAGCATCGTCCCACTTAAAACAGCTGTAAAGCCTGACTGCGGTTACCAATCCGCCTACCAAACTACTGGCAAAACCCCCAAAGGGGTGGCTTATGCTCAGCAGTGAACAGTTAAAGGCTGATGTGATGATGATGGTGATGTTACCCTTATATAAATATTTGTATTGTGCGGGGATCGAATCCACAAACATTGAGGGGTGAAGCTATATGCTGTATGTTAAAACACACACAATACAAAGATTGTATAATTAATAATTTATCATAATATACAACAATTTCATTAATGATATAATGCAATTTCTGCTCAACATATTTCCTACTTTGGCTTCCTACATTTTTTGTAGTAATTATTTTTCATTTATTAAATACTTTATGTACGTCTTTGTTGAATTCTCTATCTACATTTAATTCAAATCACAAGGTCAAAAACCTTCTTGTTTACATTTGTAAGTATAAATAATTTAAGTAATTGAAATTATTAGTGACTCGAGATCATCACGTCACATCACAAAAGTCAGCAATGTGCGAATTAATTCATGGAACGTAGTCATAAATTTATAAAAAAACACGCATTGTTAGAACTATTTACTTCATTGCCACTCATTTGCTGTAAAAAAATGTATTCGATATACATTTTTTTAAACACTTTTGATAATTGTATTTAATTTACTATACAATTTTTTATACCAAAAAAGTGGTAATGAAATTAATTTATCAAAATAATTTTGGCCCAAATTATATACCAAATACCTTCGAAATTACACAATTTTGATTGATGTTAAATATTAGCTTTTTGCCTGTACTTTGTTCGCCTGGAATTTAAAAGTAGGAAATCACTTCTAGATGTAACAAAATAAATAAAAGTATACCAAATTTTAACGTAGACTTTTAAAAACACAATTCTAAAAAATCGCGTTCAATTTGGTTCAGTAGTATTTGTATGAAACCACATCAAACATACAGACAGATAAAAATTCTAATAAATATTGTTTTAACATTTATTGGGTTTATTCAGACACTTCATATTTTCTTATTATATCTCTCAAGTGCATACATCGCCTAGTTACAATTTTATTATGTAAATAAGATGACGTTAGTGTAAGAAAGGTATCCACTTACTTCTTTTTGCATTATGAATATCTGAGTACATATGTACTAATAATAAAAGCTATGGAATTAATTAATAATATATCAATGTAGGTGTATTTTTATTTATGAAAATAGTATATCTACGATTGTATTGACACACAACTTCCAGATTAAATTATAATTAAATATCTCTTCCTATAAATTATATTTATTACATTGGATTCTTTTATTGTATTTTATTTTAGTATATCTACGATTGTATATAATATTATTTTAATTTAACATTTTATATTTAAATGTAATCATTTTAAAATATAATCTAATCAATTTATAAATAAATCGTAGATAATTTACAGTCAAGACCATGGTCATGATTACGCGTCATGAATTTTACGTAAAAATAAATCACCTAATAAAATATAGTTGTTCGAATTTTAAAATATTCTGTTAGTCAAAACTGCCGCCGATATGTGACACAGATCCTTTGTTGAATATAACTATTTGTGCATTGTGGATGTAAAATGACATCATCAGATACTTAGTAAAATCATCAAAAGGAATAATGCATGCTTATTTACTGCTATTCAAATGTACCATCTACGTCATACACATTTTAAGAATTCTATAGAAACTAACTAGGTTTTAAAGCATTGAAAGAAACTGCAAGTTGTTTTCAGAGTCACTTAGTATATTTGTTTTGTTTTTTTTTTTTTATATAAAACCTGTAACAAATTTTAAAAACTCTTTCACCTGTAAAAAACTACATTCAGCTAGTAATATGAACATAGTCGGCATACAGGGGAGAGGATGGGCCATACACACCCCGAAATTATCTAGTGTCCAGGATGAAAGCTTGGTTTTCAACTGGGCACAAAATATATTCAAGATTACATATATTCACCTTTTTTAAGGAACCAAGCCTGACAATAAGCTGTATTTTATTTAAAAAAGAACGAAGGCAGTAGTATCTTACAAATACAATACAATTGTATATTTAAGGAAAATTTAAATGTTCTTAATAACAGCAATAGAAATCAAAATAATATTTTTTAGGAATTTTGTCTGTCAGTCTTTCTGTGTCTATCTGCCTATAATTTGTATGTTTGTCCCGACATCACGCAAAAACTAATGCACGAAATTAAATGTGGTTTGCACAGTTGTATTCCTGAAGGTCTAACTTAACAACGTCAATTTCTCCATAACTCCATTGTATGGACTAATAATAAAAACTTAAAAACGTATGTTTTATCTTGATACACCAGCTAAAAGTGGCCTGTTTCCTAAATTTTCCTACTTCTGCAATCCACGAATGTGAAGTAGGGGGCAAAAAGTTAGTTATATATATTTGCTATTCAATTATGCCTATTTATGACAGTTAGTCTTGGTCCGAAACGATCCCCCTGTCCCTTCAGGTATAGATCGAGATACGACAGCCTGAGCCGAGGTTATAACCTCCTCACGGTGCTCTCAGACTATTTAAGTCGTACCAGTGAGCAGGAGACGGCTCAAGGCCGCTTCGTAAGTCCTTCCACGGGTTTGGAGCGCCATCTGTACTCACCCAATTTCTGTTTGTTAAGCTGTAAAGGCCATATTGGCGACTAGCCGATACAAACTCTTTAGATATTTATACTTTTTTATACACATGTACATTTAGAATGTTCTTATTATTTGTAATTTCAATTTTATATTTTTTTGACATATTATTTCTGTTCCTTGTTCTCTGTTAATACATTTTTTTCGCTACTAAATTCGGTCTACATCATTTCATCATCTCATCACAGTCCACTGCTCCGTAATAAGCCATCTGCAGCCAACAGCATAGAATAGTTCGAAAAATATAACAAATACTTTCCACTATTGTACTGCTAACAACAGGAAAAAGACCACCCAACGATTCTATCGTTGCCAAAAAAAAAAAAAATTCATGCAATTGTATAAATAATAAAAATATTGCCTAAGTATAAACAACTAAAAATTCACCATTCGAACACTCTTCCTGTTTGACTTCATTCTATATGAAATCATTATTATATCATTATACACGTTCATATATTTATATTGTTAATATATGCAATAATTTAACAAGTATTATTGTTTTTGTCCTTCTCTCATATCAATAAGTTTGTGTCGTAATTTGACCTTTACGAAATGAGCTTTATTAATAAGTATTTCTCGACGTCAATAGAATAAAAATAATAGAAATAAATTTGTTAATTGTTTATTAACATCGTCGAGAGGATATTAAACTACACTAGTAGGTCACTACGTTGTACTAAACACGTCAATTAAACGGTTTTTTTTTAGGATTTGATTGAGATGCAACTTAGAATGGTACAAGCAATGGCGAGTCAAACTCACGACCCACCTGTAAAAAGATAGTAATTGTCGTCTATAGACATAAACAGTACCATGCACATAATAAAGTATACTATGTCGCGTATGATACTCTTAATGTATTGCCTACTGAAAAAAGAATTAAGTTTCCAAAACTGGCGTGTATGCACGATATGAGATGAGTTATGGAACAGAATTCAAATGTAGATACGAATAGAGCCTTTAGTCTACTTCTCTCTGCGTTACCACTAAAGTGTACATAGACAATTTGATACCCACATAGTTGAATAATGAAATATGTTGTTTAAATATTTTTCGACATTCTTCTAGGACTGCAACGGCGATGGTCAGATAAACTGCTACGATTACATGGCCATCCACAAGAAGGGAGGGTACGGGTGCAGTGGGGAACTGCCCTTCAATTACGTCAACACTTTCAACCAGTGTGTGGCAATTGTTGCTTCTCAGCAGCAACAGGGTTAAGAAGACTGGAATTAAAAATGGATTAGCGTAATCACATTAATTTAAGAAAAAAATACGTACCTACTAATGAGGATAAAAAAGGCACAAGATGTCTGAGCCATGGAAAAATATGTTTCTGTTTATATAATAATTTGCGGAGATTAGTCATAAAATGAATGCTCAAAAAATATACTTTTAATTATTCTAAAATGATTGTAGAACAATGTGATGTTGTTTTGTTTTACAAAATCTATTTTCAATTTATTTTTTGATATTGCATGGAGTTTCTTATTTACTTTATATTGTCTTGTACTAGCAAACAATTGAATGACCTAATGAAAAGTGGTAATTGACGTCTATAGGCAAAAACATTATGGATAAAATTTAGATTATAGAGTATCGAGTCTCAAAAATGGATCAACTGCTTGTCAGCTAATTGTCAAATTAGCTGACTCGTTTTTTTATCAGTGTTCTATTTACTTACACACATAATGTATCTTGACGTATCTATATTTTATTATTTTATAAATAAAATTAGTTTTTATGCATTAAAATGATACAAAAATTATAAAACAAAATAAATATAGAAGTTATAAAGGAAACACTCATAATTATTTATCAGGCATAATTGTATGAAAAAGTTTACCCGCTTTTCTCGAAGCATTTGTATAGAGACACTTTATTCTGAATTTGCATAATAACAATACATCATAATTTCACTTAAATAACATTACGAAACTGGATAGATATTATATAAAAATAAAATTATGAAAATATACAGTGTATTTATATTTATTATAAACTAGTTAGAAGCTACATGATCCAAAATTCTTCTACGTTATAAATAAATTTTGTTGAAAAATTGGTAACAATAATAACATCAATATAATAATGGCTACAGAGTTTTTCCATTTCCATTCTCTATGAGAAAAACGAAAAACAAATATACTTTCATTCAAATTACGTATAGGTACAGATATTTAAGTCGATATTGTTATTATTATAAGAATGAACTAGTCTGTTAAGTTTAAATTGAAACTATCTTCAATCAATTGTATTGAGATAAGATAAAAAAAAATCTGATACACGCTACTCATATAAACTTTATATTGTATTTTTTTTTAATAATAAGTACCTAAATTTGAAATTATTTTGATATATTAGCAATTAAGAGTTTTTATTTTGAATTGCAACGCTGGAAATGTAAGTGCAATATAGATATTGAATTTTGCCAATTAAATAAGTAATTAAAACGAATAAAATAAAAATTATTATATATTAAATATTAATAAATCTATTTTCGTATGAGCATATATTTACTATGAATATATACGTCAATAAACTATCGAACTTTAATGTGTTTAAATTCTCTCTTTTTAAAACCGTGATTTCTTATCATTCCTTATCCTATCTTTACCATAACAACTGTGTACTGTCCACTGCTGAACGCAAACCTTCCTCTTCGGGGATTATCAGTAGTTGCCACGTTTGACAAGCAGGTTTGCAACCGCAGTTAGGTTTTGGTAATGTTTTAAGATACCTCTTAAATATATATATAAGACACCTCCCTCCGTTACTTCTTACAACACTCACGATAAATGGAATGAATCACCCATTCTGTGCTGGGACCATACCGCAGATCCTGTCCTCTATATACTATAAATTTATAGTTTAGCAAAAATATTGTGCTACTGACCACCATGAATTAAAAAGTGACAACGTACAGTTCATATGCAAGGTTTTCTTAAAATATTAGAAAACAGGATTCTTCTGAAAGAGCAGTACAAAACTTTATAATGGGTCGAATCTAATAAACCTTATCATTAAAATGAAAAATTAAAAATTAATTCGTAGTTTGACTATTATAATAAATTATTATATTATGAACCATTAAAAACTAAATGTAACTTAATCATAACTTAAAAATATTAATTGAATTCATCTTCTTTGTAATCTTCATTGGTCTTTGTAATACATATTTTGCTGTTGTATGGAACTGATAATTAAAAAATAGAGACAAAGAATGACGGTTCAGAATCGACCCCAATATCGACAGTACATAGCTCTACTTACTTATCACTTAGAACGTTGTCATGACGACAATATCTTCGTCACAGTAATTTTTCAATGTGTATCACTTTTTTTATAACAAAGGGGGCAAACGAGCATGCGGCTCACCTGGTGGTAAGTGACTACCGCCGCACATGATCTATCTATCTATCAAAAATAGTAGAAACTCGCCCTACAAAATAACATCCGTTCACGGGTATGACAGACGAATCAAAGTCCTCTAAACCTCAACATTCGTAACAATTTTTTTTCTTTTTTTATACCACTTTGGTAGCAATAAAGCATATGGCCCACCTGATGGTAAGCAGTTACCGCAACCTATGAACGCTTGCAATACTAGGAGTATTATGCGCCGTTGCCGACCCTGAAGAAACCTCTTTAGCCCCTTTTGAAGAACCCCATGCTGTAATCTCTTGGGAAAATCTCGACAGGGAACTCAGTCTATAACCTGAGTATTCGTAGAGAAAACATCTCTGAAACCGCTTTGTACGCATCCATCTGGACTGTAGGGTAAGAGGGTGAACTCCCTGTCAATGGCGAGCCATACGATGGTAGAAAGTGGCCGTGGTCATCAAATTGAACTATATCCTCCGAGTACAATCTGTTGTACAAGCGGTAAAATACGCAGAATCCAGCAGAATCTCTCCTAAGATTTTGGGGTTCAATACCGCTTGTAAGCTTGGTCGTTGGCTCTCAGAGTCGAAGGATTCAAGTAGGTATCTAGTTGCTCCCGCCCACAAGTGACATCAATACTCCATGTGGGGCCGGATTTACGATTTGTAAAGAATTAATCATTGATCCGGCGTGAATTAATGCTTCGCTCTATTATAGTCATTTTTGTATTAGAAACAACAACAATACAAAGATGTCGCCATGCCTCTATTATCTATGCTTAGGTACTTATAAGTGTATCACTTGTTAACGATGTTTTCTTAATTTTATATTGGAATATACTATTAAGTTGTTTATTGACATCTTTGTAAATGAAATATCAGTGTCATAGGCCAACTGTCATATTTTCTATAAACAGATTTATATTCCATTCCATTTTAGAAGTTGTTTAACTACGCTAGTATTCATCGTGTGAGTTTAATTATTGTTTAATATAAATTATCGTGTTTTATTAACACATTTAAAATACAAATATATCGTATAGTAATATTAAATAAAACAATTGTTAAGTCATGTTTAACGTCACTGTTCGTTGTGATTAAACCATGCGTTTAAAATTAATAAATACATAGTCTTAATTTTAATAAAAAAAAAAAAAAATACATTAACTATAGAATAACATGAGTTTGCACTTAAATTCAGTATGAGAAGTATATTAATAATATAATTTTTGTCTTAACAGTGTCCAATATGAAGGTAATACAAGTGTTCTTTGTCCTCGTGGTCACACTGACAGCACTAGTTGAAGTATTCGGCGAAGGATTTGATGACCAGGGTTACATTCAGCTATGTGGCCGGCAATTAGCAACCATGTGTATTTTAACTATGAATTCTGAACAAAGCCACGAGGAACCTGATATTTGTAAGTATATTTTTACGATTATTATAGAGATTGTAGATATCGGGGACTAGGGACCCACTTTTTTTTTACTGGACGATAATGGAATAGTAACCCCACCTGCACTAACGAGATACGCTGGCGGGGCACCAGTGAGGGATAAAAGGTAAGAATGAAAAGGCAGGTCAGTTAGTTTATCGTGATGAATACGCTTGGAATTCAGCACGATGGTTTCCAGGGAGGACCATGGGGAGGTCGACCTAGTTGGACATTTGCTAGCAATAGGACCTTTAGTCTCCATTACTAACAATCCTTTACCCCCCCCCCCCCCCGGGCATAAGTAGGATGCTGTCAACCGCGCGTCACCACACTACAATGCGGATGGTTTTTTTTTTTTTTTAATGAAAGACAATGGAATGGTATCCCCGCCTGCGTTATTCTTCACTGGTGTCCCGCCAGTGAGGGATATCCTTAGCGCAGGTATACGCTTATCGTCTAACTTAAAATGTGTCAGGTTATGTTTTATTATTCATCAGTCAGTGATGTTCTGTATCCCGCCTTAAAAATGGAATGTCTTTTTATATTAATAAAATTATTGATAATAATTACAACGTTTTAATAAACCGCAACCGTAATAATATTTGCAAATAATGATGGGACAACTTATATTGTCTATGGGTGAAAATTACTTTCCATCAAGTTGGTTGTCAGCCCGTTTGCCATTGCAAGTTGGATAAAAAAGAGAAAACTTCTAATCCCAACGGGCCTAAAATAGTCCTTTAATCTTAAATCTTCTTTTTTATATATTTAATTTAAGTTTATTTTTAACCGACTAACCAAAAAATAAGGAAGTTCTAAATTCGGTTGCATTATTTTATGTTTATTATTATACGTCAGAATTCCCTTAATTATAAACTGATTTAGAAAATATTTTTAATTGAAAAAATACATTATCTAATTAATCCCATAGGAATTTCATCAAAGTCGTTTCAGTACTCGTAATTAGATTTTTAAAACAAAATAAATGGTTTTTGTACTATTGAAATCGGTGTTTGGAGGAGGGTGGGGGACCTACCTACAATAAAAGTAAAATAAATATAAATATTTATTTTACTTTTATGTACCTTTGTAAAGTACTTTTTATAAGGACACTATTGAATAAATTTCTGATATCCGAAAAAATATTAAAACAATTTTTTTATACGTCTAAACATTAGATATATATGTATATTAGATATGTACACTTGATTTGACATCATCTAGTAACGGTTGGTAAATACCGCATTCGTGTATTTTTTTCCATAATGAAGTGGGCGTTATAATAATAGGATGTAGCATTCACGACTGATCAAAAGGTTTGACAAGCTGGCAAGTAATACAGACCATTGTTCCGAGATTCAAGTATCTAGTTCAATTATTATTCATAACTCTTATTGTACCTAGAATACATATATACGTCTACAAATATATTTTTAATGTGCCTAGGAAGTAAACGATTTGAAGGTCTACCTAGGTGATAAACTACAGCATTAGAAAGTGGTCGTATTGAACTCGCCCAGTTGATGAAATAAATAAATATATAACACACATATATGTAACATATATATAATATATATGTTATATATATATATATATGATTTTATTGCGATATTAAATAACCTTCCTCGAGAAATGTGCTATCAAACTCTTCTGCTTCGTTATATCTACTTGGTCAAACCTAAATTATTAACATCCTAAAAGGAAGTTATTTAAAATATGTTAACTAATAATGGAAAAGGGTTTATTCTACAAGTGTAATTAAATATTTAAGATTGTATTAAAAAAAAGCATTTACAACTGTGGTAAAACAATTTATTTTGATTAAAAAACTAAACTACTAAACCGATTTTTATAAAATTTCTACGGGACCAATCCGTAAGTATATCCTTTCAGATAAAGAATTTTCCAAATCGATTTACAAATGACAGAGTCAAAGGTGACAAACTTAAAAATATATATACATATAACCAGATTGAAAATCTCCTTCTTTTTGAAGCCGATTGAAAATTACCTGAAGAAACATGAGTCGAAATACGACCAAAAAATTAATCTTCCCACTCTAGCACTGTGTCTGTCAACGGTCAAATATTTTTTTAAATTTTGCAATCTTCTGTTTATTATGTCACGTAAAGAGGTTTTCTCAGAGTCGGCAACGTGCGCGCAATGCCCCTGATATTGCAGGACTACGGTAATCGCTTACCATCAGGTAGGCCGTATACTTGTTTTCCACCTCAGTAGTATGAACAAAAAGAATACCTTCTAAAATAATATTATTGTGTATTTCCAGATCTTACACAAAAGCGATCTCTATCGCCCCGCAACAAGCGTTCACTGCTCGAAGAATGTTGTCATAATAAATGCACCAAGTCGGTCTTTGCTCAGTATTGCCATTATTAAATATTATTAAGTATCACTAATATATACTTAAAGATTAATTAAATATAATTTTTTTAGTGTAACATTGTTTTTGTCATTTAGAGAACAGACAAAAGTCATGTGCATGAGTATTTCTCACTCTTGTTTCTGCCGCAAACCAGCTGTCCTTGTATTGCCATGTTTCCGTTCGATGGTAGGACATGGAACCACCGCAAAAAAGATGCCGTTTGTCGTATCTCCTCTCTTTCAGGGCACTTTCCTTGATAATAAGTCAAGTCTAGGGGTCATTGGCGTTGATACATGTGTCTAGCGACGTCCAATTTTGCGGTCATCTGAAGAAAATAGCTTCCAAAAAGTTATAAGTGCTCAATAGAGTGAGACGGTATTTTACGTCGGAACACCGCCTGAAATTGTATAAAGTTCAAGTCAGAGCACCTATGTAATGATGCTTCATTACATAGGTGCTCTGACTTATATATGTGGCCGCAGCGCCACAGTGCCAACTCCTTCCGTTAGACCGCCTTCACAGACAGGCGGTTTGAATTATTGATGATCAGCGCCTTACTGTCCGACTCGATCCATTGAAACTCCGTAGAGATGTTGCATCTCTGTGTATCTTTTACCGAATTTATCATAAGGAGTGCTCTGAGGAATTGTTCGAATTGATACCTGAAAAAGAGCATATTCCTTTTTAAAAGGTCGGCTCTACACCTGCAATGCCTTTGGTGTTGTGGGTAATCATGGGCGGCGGCAGTCACTTACCATCAGGTGAGCCGCATGCTCTCTGTGTCATAAAATAATCGTCATCTCATTTACATAGTTTTCATAAAAATTGCGAGACATGCATCGTCTACCATTTTGTATGTCTATGGATTTTACTAAACTGTACCATATGAATTGTAAAGCACAATAGCAAATGACGAATCTGACTGAACAGGATACGAATACATTACCTCCCGGATATCATTCTTCAAAGTTCAAGACTGTCGTTCCTTACCTATACCTACCTACGTAGGAACATATTTAGCATTACTTAGACACGGACCTTTGAATATTAATATAGTGCATTACAATATTTAATAAAACAACTAATTCATCAGAAACAATGATAAATAACTTGTATGTGATTGCAAAAGCGAGACGCTAAGGACATAGTTTATAAATACTCTCTATCAACTTAAAAAGTTTTTGCCTAAAGTTTTTTTGGTTGTGATTCGTCGAATAATAATTACGTATCTATACGAATTGTATAGAATTATACTTAGATACCGAGTCAGTTAAGCAAATAGCATCCGTGTCGTTTGGACTTGTATTAAAAGTGTTTAAATAATATATAACAATGATAAGAAGGTTAATATTAGTTTGTGAAATGGAAAAGTAGGTAGTCTTGTGTATTAAAGAGTGTAGCCACAGACATGTGTTTGAAATATTTCATTTGTATTTTATTATGTTTATGTACTGTTTTTGGTGAGTACTCGTCGATTTGCAAACTTTTTTTTAATTTCTACAATTTTTTTTACAAAGCTACCGAAATACAATTAATGGCTGATGTTATTACATTTAATTATTCTGCTAAGAAAATTATTAATAAAAAAAATCATGTAGATCAGTAGGAAATGTAGAAATCCAAAAATAGAAATGTCTACGCGCTCTTATATTCTTATTTCAAATTCGCTTTAATTTTCTTCATAACCTGCTCCAAAATAAAAACGGTGAATTCGAGGATGGATTAAATGATTTTTTCCTAAATTATTTTTATAATTATTGATTGAACCTGATTCTTTTACAATAGAATAGAAAACATTTATTTATTTTAAATTAATACCTGATTACTAAAATTTTATTACAGTTTATTCATATTTAATTTATTAATCATCATCATCATCATCATCATATCAGTCTTCAACTGTCCACTGCTGAACATAAGCCTCCCTCTTGGGGAACCCCCCAAAGTTGCCACACTCACCGGCGGATTGGCAACCGCAGTAAGGCTTTAGAGATGTTTTAAAAGGGACGCTGCTGCCTATCCCACGCCGCCCCTTAATTGTCTGTTACGCCACCCACGGGCTTATTCTATGCTGGGACGACACGAACAATATTTGACAATACAAAACAAGACATAACAAGATACAGTGTAATAAACTTATTTACATCCGAAAATGATTGTACTCTTTTCTTAGTTAGTCGGATGAAAATTAAGCTATTTATTTATTTATTTATTTATAGCAAGGCATCAGATTACAAATTAATACATTTATAAAATAAATATTACATAAAACGGCATTAAATTTGTACTCCAATAACTGCTCTGCATAACATTCGATATTATATACATTAAAAGAATGACGGCTATAAATTTAAAGTAACAAATTGGCAGCCTTAATGTAACATTGCAAGGATTGTTGAAAAATATAAAGTGCCTTGCATACATTGTCATATTTTCTGCACATGCGGATAATTGGATTGTGATACGATACATTATCATTAGAAATCGGTATATAAAATAATTTTTGTATTCTTTTATTACCTTTACGAAATGAAACAAGGCTCAACAATGTGCTACTGTCCCATTTATAATTTATTATTTTATAGAGAGCAATAAAATCAGACATAGGTCTTCTATTTATAAGAGAATTAATGTTAAAGTGATTAAGTCTTAATTCATACGAATGAAGTTTCCTTCTCAGACCAAACTTAGTGCTCAAGAATCTAACAAAGCGTTTTTGAATTGCTTCTATTCTGTCAATGTGGTTCTGATAAAAGGGAGACCAAATAACAGAACAGTACTCAAGTGAACTTCTAACTAGTGTTGTATAGAGTGACAAAATAGTTTGCGAGTTTTTAAAAGGTTTAGTTGTTCTAAAGATAAACCCCAGAATTCTATTTGCGTTATGAGTTTTATATAAAAAAAAATATATACTCATGTACAATTTATTACGTGGAACGATTTTAATATGTTTTATAAAACATCAAAGTACATAAATAAAATGCGAGGTCAGACGTTCTCTATGCATGGTGAATAATATGAACATAGCAAGTAAAGTCTATTTACCTCAGATAAATATATACTATTACAGATAATGATTAGTATTTCCCGTGGCTTTGCCCGTTAAGTTATTTATTTATCTAACTCTTTATTGCACCAAAATCATAAAATAAACAATGATAATTAAAAAATCTAAGTGAAATGCAGTAGTATAAAGTACAAATCAAAATATAGACATAAAGGTACCAAAGGCGATCTTTGGTTTGGTTTAGTTGGACAAGCTTTGGTTAAAAGAGAGCTAGTAGAAGTGGGTAGGTAACGAAAGAGTGAATTAATAATTTTTACATGCATAAAACACAAAAATACACAAAGGAACGTAAAGTAGGACGATCTCTCATTAGATGGAGTGAAACCCCTCCCCCTATTATTGCAGGGAGTCATTGGATGCGGATGGCTCAGGACTGTTCCTTATGACAGTCCATAGGGGAAGCCGGTGTTTAGTAGTGGACGGTTAATGGCTGAGATGATGATCATAATTATATATATATATATATATATATATATATATATATATATATATATATATATATATATATATATATATATATATATATATATATATATATATATATATATATATATATATAATATACATATAGTATTAGTATAATACGGGTGTTACTGTAATTACTACATATTAAAGTAGATACCCGTGTGTCAAATCTCATTCAAATCCCTTCATCCATTTAAGCGTAATGTAGTAACAAACATACAAACATCTTTGTAAACTCTGACATTTGTAATATTAGAAGCAGTACCAATGATTTTTTTTTTAATAGACGATAATGAAATTATAGCGACGCCCGCGCTAACGGTATACGCTGGCGGGACACCAGGAATAATATGTGAAAATGGAAAGGCAGGTTTAACGAACCTGCCTTTCCATTTTCACATATTATTCATTATGGCATTATTCATATTATTTATTATAAGGCCCATCATTATGGTCGACTTGACTGGGTATATAAGGAGGGAGAAGGGGTTGTTAGTAATGCGGACTACCAGTCCCATTGCTAGCAATATACCCTAGCAGGTCAAGCTCTACGTAATCCCCCTTGGCCATAATGGTGTCCAAAGGAGAACGCGTGGATATAAATCTAACAGGGATATATTGTCAGCAATGGTACAATTAGATCCCTTTACAATCTCTTTCCACCCCATGTATTTGGGTCTGACGAGTTACATAGCTTTTCAACTAACTTCAAAAAGAAGCAGGTTTTCAATACGGTTGTATTTTTTTTTATGTTTGTTACTTCATACTTCAAACATTCAATTCAATTTTAAACCAAATTCGATTTTATCTAAATAGATATAGGTACTTACAAATTGGTCCTATAGATATTTTTTCAAAACCGTTTTTGATACTACTGAGGTGTCAAACAAGCATACAGCCCATCTGATGCTAAGCGGTTACCATATTATATGAACGCCTGTAACACCAGGGGTATTACGCGCGCATTATTGAACTCGAAGCTACCTCTTTAACCTTATTACGCCCTTTTTGAAGGGCTATGCTGTAGTCTCTTAAAAAATCTCCACAGGGAGCTTACTCTGTAACCTGAGCGTTCGTGGAAGGAAAAATCTCTGAAACCGCGCTTAAACGACCATCTAGGCTCTAAGATATGAGAGTGAACTCCCTATCGATGACTAGCAGTACGATGGTAGAAAGTGACTGTGGGCATAATATTGAATAGTTTCTCTGAATACAGTTCGTTGTACAAGCGAATTAAACACTCAGATTAAAGCATAATCTCTCCTAAGGAAAGGTTCGATACCTCTTGTAAGTCTTGCTTAAGTCGAAGGGTTCAAACTAGTATCTAGGTGCTCATGGTCACATTATCTTATCATATAAGCCTTTAACTGTCCACTGCTGAACATAAGCATTTGAGGGGTTTGCCAGTAGTTGCCACGCTTGGCTGGCGGATTGGCAACCGCAGTTAGACTGTAGAGATTTTAAGAGGGGCGCTGTCGCCCATCGCTCGCCTTCCCTTAGTCACCTCTTACGATACTCACGGGAAAAGAAGAAGTGGCCTATTCTATGGCGAAACCACACGGCCAAGGTGCTAATGATGTTTCATCGCAATTGAAATCGGTATTTTTGTAAAACACAATCATTATACTTCAACAGATATAATGACTTCAATTCTAGGAGTACATAAACGGCTGACGAGTAATATACAGTCTTGCCCAGCTCAAATTTAAATGTAATAACCCCATTTTCAGGAGTGCATGTATCCAATCTGAGCGGCGCGTGCCTCCGGTGTCTCTGCTATGTAGCCGGTTGCGATATGTCCCACGGGTGTTCGGGAGGTTACTGCGGTCCTTTCTACATCTCCAAACTTTATTGGATTGACGCTGGCAAACCAACTTTGCCCAATGACGATCCCGAGAGAGATGAAGGTAAACTTTTTTTACAACAACAACAAATTTATATACCTTTTCACAACATGTCGAGAGAAACTTAAACTAACATAAAAAATATTATGTTAGTTTAAGTTTTAAGTATTAATTCATTCATTCATTACTATTATAACAAATGCAAAACGAAATAAGTATTTTTATCATATTTTTGTCTGCAAACCTGGCAAAGCTAATGGGGGAAATACCCAATAATTTATCATCTTTAAAATAAAAAAAAACTTACTTTTTAATTGTCATTAACATGACACAGTTTAGCATTGTGTTAATGTGTAATGACATATTTTGTAAGTGATTTTTACAAAAATAATAAATAATAATGACGCAATAATGAACTTGGAGCTGAGAGTCTCCTAAGTCACCAAGTCTCTTGAACCCAGATTATGCCAAAGCTGAACTCACCCACATAATAACAATGACAATTCAATGGCACTTTTTATATTATATCTTGTACAATTGGATCATAAACTCATTAATAAATTATATATCCACAAAAAAACTAAGTAATGAAAGGTACCGTAAGCTGTCTGGGATGAATTGATTGATTGAATTAAATGAAGTATTAGATGTTTGTGGAGCAAAAAATAGACTTAACCTATCTATGCAATTAGGCTTCATGAATCAACATAATATGGTCATAAAATATAGGAGAATGTTTCTTCCATGCTAATTACAGATATAGCCAGGTAATTTATTAAAATATACGAAGAGACCCTGTAATTTTGAACTAATTTTGAATTTCGGTTCATCAACCTTCTATTAGGTAGTTAAGTACGTTGATTTTGTACAACTTTTTTATATACTTTTATTTTTGTATGGCTTAAATCAAAATAACTTTTTTTCTTTATTTAGTAAAAAAAAATTTTGAATTCCATATTTCTCTTTTTTTACGAATTCCCATACTTATACAACTTTATCTCTACCTATTGCCGTAGGTACTTAAGGTACTATGCTTAATCTAGCTATGGACGAAAAACTATATTCCATTTTATTTTTTAAATTTCGGCAAGGCTAAGTCACTAGCCAGACTTGCCCTTTATGCTAATAACAAACGGAATTTTAAAAACGGAATGAGAAGGGTTTTGGTATTTTTTTTTTCCAATATTATTTGGTTCGCGATTGGGAGATGAGTATTTAGCTTAAGCGTCTTAGTTGACTTAAGCAGCGATTTGATACAGCATAAGTCTCTAGTCTAGCTATTTAATTCTTGCACGCGTAATTTATTTTGAAAGGGGGTTTTGGTATTAGTAATCATGGAATTATAGTTTGATATTATTATAAGAAATAAAAAAAGCTAAAGAGTTAAAGACTAAAGGATCAGGATGAGCTAACAACCATAAGATGGATGTAGAAAAAGGATTTTCAATGAGTGACTTAAAGACTTTAATCGATTCAGCTTAGGACTATAGGTCCTTTACAGGCACAATACATTCTGGACAAAAATATTGAATGACAAAAACTGATCTGAGATTCCGATCGTGATAATCTAACTTTATCTTATTATTTCGTAATGAAAGAATTATTTTCTGTTTTCGCAGCGTTTGAAGATTGCGCAAGAGATTACTTCTGTTCCATCAGAGTGGTTGAAAATTACATGGCGAAGTTTGGAAAGGTGAGACGATTACAACATTTGTATAAAACATAACATGATGTTTAAATATACATACTACAAATAATCTGTCGACAATTAAACCTGTTGATATTTGTTTTGAAAATAGAATTAAAACCTGTAATAAAACTTTTTTGTAAAATCTTTTTTTATGATTACTTCATTAAAGAAAATGGACGTATTCTCAATAATATTTAGTCTCTTTCGATAGAACTTAATATAAACAAACAAATTAATTTATTATGCCTACTTGCTACTTATTTCTTTTCGAGAATGTTTCTATGATAATTTCTTGATAACCATTTCATTAAGTTATATTAAAACAGACTCATATGAGTGCATATACCACTTTTTTTTATTTATAAAACGCTAACGTTCCGCCCCAGCTTCACACGGGTAGGTTAAAGATAAATTATTATTTTACACAATTTTGATGCTTTGGATTGCATTATGATAATTTTCGTAAGTTTGTCTAATTTTTTAAAAATAATATAATACCTATATTACTCGCTGATTATGTAGCTTTTTTAAAGGTTAAAGAATTTTTTAAATTGGTTGAGTAGTTTTTGAGATTATCCATTACAAACAAAACATACGAAAAAATCTGACATTTTCTTTTTACAATCTTATTAGTACAAATTATGTTTTGTACAATCTTTTAAGCTCTGCATTACGTTTGTTTAAATATATTACAGGACTGCAACAATGACGGCGTGACCAACTGCTTCGATTTTATGATGATCAACTACCATGGCGGCCGCGCCTGCTCCGACCCTTTGTTCCTTACAGACCACGGGAGGCGGTGGCTTGCAAAATTCCAGGAGTGTCGTTTCTAGGTTTTAGATAGCCATTGTACTAGATCATATATATATATCTACGTCTAGATGGAGAGTCAACTATCAAAAACGTCAACTGATCAACCAACTAAGTGCCTAGTATGAGTTGTACAAAAATTTACATTACTAATGTGTACACCAGAGGGAGACTTTGTACAAAAGTTTGGGCACCTCTGTCCCATTCGTGTTTCTACCGACTGTGTTTACGTTTGAAGGGCATATGGCAGTGAATTTACAGGGTACAGTGGGATAACACCTGAGTCCTCAAGAATGGCAATGCATGGGGGGTTTCATGGGCGAAACAGTATACTCTGTTATGCCCATGATACTACTCATGTCTATAGCGACGGTTACCACTTTCCATCAGATGGGCCGTCAGCTTGTTTGCCATTCTAAGTTGCATAAAAAAAAGCACATTTATGTCGATAATTTTGTATGGAAATATGAGTTTTCGAAACTATTTGCTTAAAGTGTAGTATTAAGTTTTCAATACAAACATATCGAGTAAATGTGAACGTAAGTTTAACGTAAATCTTTGTACAACTCACACTAGACACTCTCCTGTGCAAAATACATTTGCTTTTCATACAGTACAAAAGTATGAAGCTGTACTTATCTTATTGACGTAATAAAATTGTAACTTGACTATTTATTTAAAAAAATAATAATATGAGGAGTCCTAAAAAGAGTAATAAAAGTTAAAACAAAATTTATAATCTGTCTGTATGTTTGTTTTAGTATCACGCAGAAACTACTGCATTAAATTGAATGCGATTTCCACGGTTATGATTATGAAAGTGTAACTTAAAAACTGGTGTATATTTTATATTACTGTTAAAAGTGGTTATCTACATATACACGAGTACGAAGTTGCGGGCAAATACTAGTTGATAAGAAACATATTAATAAATAAATATATTATTTGTGTGCCAAAAAACATCAATTACAAGATTGATATACTTTTATACTTTCTGGAAATGAATTATGTTAAACATGGCCATTTTTTTCAATGCACTTTTAAAGAAATTCTCTCTAGATCTTATTAATCAATGTATTGTAAATTTTTTTACTCATACAAAATAATTATATTCAAATCTTTTTTTTGGAATACTGTAATATTTACAATGCGATGGTGTTATCAGATATTTGACAGACAAAAAAAAATATAAAATGTAAAAGCTATCTGTGTATAAAAAGTACATTATAATAACTAGTTTTTTTTTTTAATATTATTATAACAATTCATAATAAATAATAAATATTCTAATGTGTCACTTAATATATATATTATGTGACCAATTAGAGTATTTATTATTTTTCTGCCTACATATTAGTTCATAATATCTGACAATAATAAACAATATAAAATTTAAAAAAGTACTTAATAAAATTAATTAATTAATTTTAATACACGAGTAAATTAGTAATCTGTACAACTTAGATATAGTTTAAGATAGTATTGAAATTATTAAATAAGGACTATTAACATTGTGTCAGAATAAACGTATCCATATTTTTAAATTCGATATTTATTCTTCAGTCTGTCCATCAAGACTTTATTGTAAATACGTAGGTCTCTATATATTTTTCATATATTTACATACGACACCCACTGAAAAGGAAGGAGTGGCATAGAATGGGCCACTTCTTCCTTTCCCGTGGGTGTCGTAAGAGGCGACTAAGGGAGGGCGAGGGATGAGCAGATGCGTCCCTGTTAAAACATCTCCAAAGCCCAACTGCGGTTGCCAATCCGCCTGCCGAGCATGGCAACTACTGGGAAAACCCTCCAAGGAGGAGACTTATGTTCAATTGTGGACAGTTAAAGGCTGATATGATGATGATGATGATAGCAAAATCCATATATTGTAGTTACAATATCTGTACATATATTGCCCCAATAATAAATGTATTAACTACAGGTTATTTAATATATTACACCGAAAAGAAGTCCCGCTCGTAATGAATATAGATATATCCGACTGGTATGGGTGGGTCGGTGATCGGTCGTCCCTCGAATTGGGGGCCGGGAGACAGCAGAGGTCGCCAGTTCGGAGGCCGACCACATACTCATTTGTTGCAGTATCTGGCCGTTCATTTATCTTCTTAATACTTCTCAAATATTGCGTCTAAATTGCGCCCACCAAGTACTCGTACCCTCTTGTATAGGCATTCCGTCACCCGTATCCAATAGCGAGGACGGGATGCCTTAAATACTGTACCGCAAACCATTAAAAAAGAGAGGTATGGGTGATATCACAACGGGGGTCATCAATGTCCAAAAGAACTCAATATATGTATTGATGTAGGATATTACTCATCTCGGCCTGATATTACTAATTATTTTTTTAATACATATTTTTTAAATACATATTTTTTTTATTCTACTGCAAGTGCAAAGTGCACTGACGGCCATTATTATTTTATTATTATTATTATTATTAGGCCAGAAAATTTCACTTATGACATCCTTCATGCCATAGTTATAAACGTGAGGAGATCCTTTCTTCCACGCACAACCACTCTTTGCAATCAACTTCCAGCAGCAGTATTTCCGAACCGATACAACATATTAACTCTCAAGAGCATATTCCTTTTTAAAAGGCCGGCAGTACACCTGCAATGCTTTTGGTGTTGCAGGTGATCATGGGCGGCGGTGACTTACCATCAGGTGAACCGCATGCTCGATTGCCCCCTATGTTATAAAAAAAGACCTCATGGTAGGTAAATAGAAAGAATAAATTAATATACAATTTAATTAAAACCATGTACAGTATTTGAACAAATAAAAATTAATAAATAAATGTAGAGTTACGATTCTACAAATAACGGAAACATATTTATTTATTTTAAAATATACTTGACAATACATATTTCTAATTTGCACATTGGCAACAACTGCAGTGTATCTAACACCACATACGTCTAGATGGAGCAACGAGCTAAAAATTTCATTAAAAATTCCAAAAACGCACAATTATTATCAACTATTGGCTGATGCGTAATTCCATCATACTAAATACATAAATGTATAAAAGACTGAAAATATAATATTACTAATATAGTAAATATGAATAAATAAAACTATTGTTTTTATGACAAAAGCCACTAATTACAAAATTTTTAAGGGCCTAAATTATAACAGATTTATTGAATTATCATTTTCTTTATTATATATATATATATATATATATATATATATATATATATATATATATATATATATATATATATATATATATATATATATATAACTATAATCGTACTTGTATAATTACAATACCACCCTAATCTTATTTATTTCACAAAATTATCAAGCCTGTAGCGCTGACAATTATTTTATCCGATATAGATGTTTTATATTTATTTATTTTTTTCCGTTTATTCAAATGTCCACGACATTAACACAGTCATAAAATTTAGACAGAATATACAAAAAAAAAAATTATAATATTTTAAAATTACTTATCATAGAGACAATATCATAAACTAAATACAATATAAAATTGGCAGGAGTTAATGGCATGACAACTGCTACAAAACCTAAACAATTTAAAATGAACGCGTCATTGAAAAGTGTTGGCTGTTTTCGTTAAGCATTCTATCTAGATGATTGTACATCAAAACATCTACAACATAAAATTCGAGTAAAACAAAACACATCAACGCCTATTACGTACATACATCAATTCAAATAAGTTACTTATTTAAAAGTAACTTAAGTAGTTCTTCTTACAAAATCAGAATGTCATAATCTATTGTCTAATTTTGTATTTTATGAAATGACTCATTGAGATAGATTTTGTAGAGCAAAATACTGGTTGAAATTGGACAATATAAAATTTTGCTTTGCAAAAAAGCAACGATTTCGATAGCGTTAAATAAAACATGGGCGAAAGTAAATCCTATAGATATAAAAAGTAATCAAATAGTAAAATCAAGATGTTAGTTCTTTATATATTATCTTGCATGCAGTAGCGAAAATGTATCTATTGTGAGATTCATCTATTTGTCACTTCACTGAGAAGGGTTGCAGCAATTTAAGAATATACATTTAACAATTTTTTGACAAGAGATTCCGACATGCAATTCCTTCAATGGAAAGCCTCTTAAATTGTCTATATTATAAAATATATCTTAACTAAAGCAGTCAAAATGGCATCCATTTAATAAAGCTTTGTTTAGCTTAACCAATGTATTGCTACTTTTAACTTAAACATTAAAAAAATAATATCTTAAATAACAGTACTACTAAATATAAGATCAGGCGAAAGTGACGAGAGGAGCGGGCGACTGACAGTGCTCGCTATCCGTCTCTTCATCGGACTCATCCGGGAAACGAACCTGTAATCAACATTTGGATCAAATTAAAGTAATACATAATCGAAAACCGATAGAAAAGAAAGGTTCTTGAGTAGCGACTCCGTATGGACAAACACAGTGTAAGACGAAGACCACAAATGCATTGCAGAGAGTTGGTGGGTGAACGTGGCTCAGGATCGTTCCTTATGACAGTCTATTCGGAATGCCTATGTTCAGCAGTAAACAGATAATGGCTGATATGATGATGATTTTGATGATGGCAATAATTGAAAGCAACAATCAAATGACAAAGCGCGAGTACAAATTGAAATCTATATCTATCTTTTCTGTCTAATAATATCAATCAATCGATCCAGTATTCTCTTTTGCCCGCCAGATGGTGTGGGCGGGCGAGGTAGGGGCCTCGGGGCATACCCTATTACCCCGGCTTCAACTCCGGAGGCAACAACCACTGGGTCATTAGGTTTTAAGCCGACATACACTGATCTGTCTAATAATAGATAACCCTAGAATTATTACAGAGCGCCAGATGGCGCTTAATCTCTGCTTGATTTTGGACTATCTAATCCAAAACTAAACAGAGATTATACTGTAAATATTAGACAATAGTTGATATTAGACAATTTCTATATAAATAACAATCAGATCTTTTCAAATGCACTCATGCATATTTAGAAAAATACTTCTCAATATTAACCCACCTTATGAAAGAGCCCTACATTCAGTAGTGGAGAGTTAACGGCTGATTGAGGATAATTGTACAGTTATACTAACAATGACGCGATTTCTAAACTACTTTATATTTGCATTACATAATAAAACATATTCTTATTAATCCTTGCTAGTAAGGTGAGTTTGTTTGTTGCCACTTGATGCCTGAACGGTTCAACCAATCTACATAAAATTTGGAAAAGGATTAGGAAATAAGTATTTTATTGCAGTCGATTATGATGACGTAGCGAACGGACCAAGTTACTTGTAAAAGTAGTGTCATCTTACCCAGGGTGTACCTTTCCCGGTGGATTGTAAAGAGCTGCCCTGGTTTGCCTGCCATTCCTGAAAATTTTTGGTCACAAATTTAGTATTGTTAGTATTGTATTTTCACTGTCTTCAATTTGAGTGTATATTTTATTCGTATGTCTCATGCTATTCCAAAACGGTTACGATATATTTTTTTAATCAAAACAATTTACTCTCATCTTAATCATAAATTAGTAAATTTTGTTCTAATTGATGTAGCTTTGTTTCAACAATATCTAAAATTTATTATCGCATTAGAAATAAGTATAACAAATGCTTCAAATGAATAGTATTCAATAAAAAAATACACAAATATTTAACTCGATTCGGAATCAAAATGGCATTAATAGAATAGAATATAAATCATCTTTATTCATATATCAAAACTATATATTTATAAACTCTCCTAAATTGTTCCTTTTTATAATGCATGGATAGCGGCTACACCTAACACCGGATAATTTAGCTTAAATTATAAACGTTAAATACCTGATAAGCATCATTGAAAGCGTGTGCGAGCGATAGAGCAAGCGCCCTCGCTTGTTTCCGCCTCGCACATACAAACACATGTACTACATGTGATTCGCTCGAACCGCTACCGCTCTTGCCTTCGACCACAGCGAATACTCGCGCATTAGCCGCATCCGCTGAACAATATGAAATTCTACAACAAATATGAACATAACTATAAAAAAACATACATATTCTATCTCTCCCATCTTTAAGTACGTCTATTAATTCACGTCTGAATAAGACTTCAATTCCAGATTTCTTAATACAACACCAAAAATACATTAACAACTACTATCATCATCATCATCATCATCATCATCATCATATCAGTCGTTAACTATCCGCTGGTAAAATAGACCTCCTCATAAACTGCCGTAAGAAATGGTTCTAAACCAAAAATCTGGAGGCCAATTCTCATGGTATTTGCCATACAGGGGTTTCGCTAGTAGTTGCTACGCTTGGCAAGCGGATTGGCAACCGCAGTTAGACTTTAGTTATATAATAAAAGAGACGCTGTTGTCCACCCACGAGAAAGTAAGGGGAGGCCTGATCGGGATCACACGACGACTATAAATTGTAAAAATATTTACATTTAAAAACAAGGTAAAGTCAATGACTTTCTGGCTAATATCAATTATGTTTGTGATATTAAACTTCATTAATTAAATGTTATCTATAATTTATTGTCGTGTAACCTGGCCAGGCGATTGTGTTCACAATATTTACAAAAGGCCACTCTGCTATAAATAAGTTAACTTGTTTATTGTGAATCCACTATTACATATTTTTACATAAAAACTGTTGTGACTGTGATGAGATAGTAAGAAGCAATTCATCATGTCGCTGTATTGATGACAACAATTGACGTTCTTATTGATTATTTTATTTTGATTTTAGAAATACATATTTGATTTTTATGTAATAATAATAATAAACACCGCTGAATTCATTGCATTACATACTCGCGCTCCAAATTAAACAGAACTTGAAACTATAAATTTTAAGCAACTGATAGATTTTTGTTATTAATTTTTTTTTCTAAATAGATACATAATTTTACATAAAAAAAATCACCCGAAACTATAAAAACAGACAAACTTATTTACATCCAACACGATCAAACCTTCGGCTTTCGGATTATTTTGGATAGCTAGATTAAATATATTTAAATTGGAAGCAACGTATTGAATCGTTACACTATCAAGGTTGTATACTGCTAAAAATTATACAATTATGGATAAATTTTGAATATTTTAAGGAAAACATTCAGCAAACATACTGTAATTACTGGCCTTCATATGCTATGGTTTACCATCAGACTGGCTATATACTTGTTTACCCCCAAAGTAGTAAAAAAAGTCTTATTTTATGGAAAGTTGAAAAAGTAATTAATCCAGTACGCCTTAAAACAAAGATAAATAAAATTAATGTACCTGTATATTGAGACGCTGAGAACATTTTCCTGAGAGTCTGCATCACTGACTATTATTCCTTTAGGACTAATATCAAGGTTGACCTTCTGCAGTTTCTTATTTAAAGCTGAAAATTATAATGTCAAATTTATAAAAATTAAAAATAATAACTCAAAATTAAAAATAGTATGTCATGTAATGCCTGCTATGTCTAAGTTATTATTGGGAATAAATAAAAAACATGATAATTCGTAATGGTTATAAAGAACTCTGACGATTTGAGCATAGGTAAAAGCTTATCAGAATAAAAGGAGTGAAGCAACTATGTTGAAAGATTTACACAAACAGCTTCGCACAAACAATATCTATGCTTTGAAAAAACTGAAATATAGTTAAAGCGGTATACAGATAATATCCTCTTATACGACTGTCATAATCTAAGATCCAGCCGCTGACTTCCACAGGTATAAGTTTTTTATTGAAACTTAGTTTTAATAAAAAATGAGATAAAATACAATATAATGCACCCAGATTCCCCGCTCTCAATTAACCAAAACCTAGGATTGCCAAATGAAACCTGCAAAAATCAGCTGCGAATCATTTTTTGCTCACGTTCGAAGAATGTTAATTAAATAACTGGAAAACAAATATAAAAATTACGCTTCTTGTTGTTCTGAATATTATAAGCTCGAAAATAAATTATATAGACTTATAAAATGTTGTTTCTGGCAATATAAATCTACTTACTCTTAGCAGAGTTCAGCGCAGCTCGCACAGCGAGTGCAGTGGCGGGTGCGGAGGCGGCGCGCTCGACGGGCGCCACGCCCGCGTACCGTACATCTTCGCCTCGCCCGCTCGTCTCTCTTGCCTCGCGCCACCATCCTTCGCCTTCGCACTCTGCTAAAGCCCATTCTTCACACAATTCTGAAATATGTTTTAACTATATTTAAGCTGTATCATGTGTGTTAAATTAATCCTACCTGTCCACAAAATTTTATTCTAATCCATTTAGTAGGTAATTTTTGCGTGAAAGAGTAACAAATATGCATCCATAAAATCTTTCAACCATTCTTCTATCCAATCATCTTCCCATCCAATATTACAAACTTTCACAATTATTATATTATTAGGATAAAATAGCTAGAAGAGTATAAAGAAAAATTCATGACAATAATAAAATGAAATAAAATAAAATATATATTTGCTTTAAATAGACCTTTAACATAGTAAAGGCCATATGACAAAATTTTTTAGCATCTGTTGAATTGCCTTAAAATTGTGGTCATGTAAATTTAAAGTATTAATTAAATAAATATCTATAGTAATAATGTTGATTGACTAATTAAGATTATACAAAATTAATGTTAAAGAAAAATAGAATTAAACCAATAAATTTATATAAGGGTATGTACCTACTACACGCCCAATATAGTCAAATAAGATCACTAATTACATTTTGAATGTCGTACCAATAACAATTTAAAAATCTAGGTCAGTCTCAAAGTATTATAGATTATTTATATTTTACATTATAAAAGACATTATATACATAATATTGCTAACGGCTAAGTAATCACTTAATAAGCAATATGGAATAGATAGTGAGATTTTTTAACACTTCGGTAATCCATGACATGAATAAAAAATAAGCACTCTAATAATCCATAACATTATCCACAAAAACGTTAACAATTCATGTTCATTTGATATTTTCGACTGCGGTTTATAACTTGTGGTTTCCCCATCAATAGTATTTTGAGAATATTTTATTATACCAACCTATTATGCTTTTTTTTATTTTATTATATATATCAATATCTTCCATAAAATTTTATGAGATAACATAAGGAAATTATAAACGTTGTATTTAGTTCAAACAATTAATTTAATTAAAACAATTTTAGTTTGTACAAAAATTAAGCTACCAATATTACCTAATATATTGATATTTTTTTATCTATATATATTTAAAAAAAAATCCGTACCATACTATTTTTTCTCGTACTTCTATTTATCATTCTAATTTTTGGTACGGTTCAAATTAAACTAAACAACAGTCTAAGTTTAAAGTTATAAATTAGTAAAAAAATATGACTACCTTATCTTATCAACTTATGAGTCAAACAAGAAGTTAATCTTGTTTTAGCTGTTCAGGGTGGGATTAACAATTTGACCTGTCTCCTTAAGCAGGAACTAACAGAATGTTAATTCCCATTTGGATTCAGTATATAAACATCTAACCTTAATATGAATACTCATTTACTTAATATTTGAAATGTAAAACAGATTGCCTTTAAGGGTACCCAAACTGTAGCCTTAAAATAGTTAAAATACCAATATAAAACAAAAATACCGAATTATTCTCCATCACAATAAGAAATAATAGACTACTTAACTACTTCCACAGGTAGTACAAGTGATTTCTCAGTTATAACTATATACATATATACTATATGTTTAACTTTTTGAAAAAGCAACAGCTGAGTTTCTTGCCCATTCTTCTTGGCTGAAATTTAGTTCCGAATGGACATAATTCTTTCTTTCTTTCTATAAATAAAACTTTATATAAAACTGAATTCCAAACACTAAGTGCCGACTGTTTCTAACATCAACAACCTCCTGCAAAGTGTTTTTTATCAGTAAAACTAAGTTTTTTGCTAAAAAAAAATGGGTCTACAAAGGATAGATAATTTTTAATTAAAACAGGACACATCGTCTTAATAGGTGTTCAACATTTTATCTTATGTAATTTTTTACCCATTTTCAAATTGTAAATATATTTGTTATAACAAAATCATAGCCTATAAATATATCATATTTTTGGTATATCGACCTTAAGACATGCATATTACTTTGAAAGTAATAAATCCACGATAAACCTAGTTTTTCTCCGGACGTTGACAGTGTAGGTATCTATAAAACGGGCGTTGTCACCAATCACTGATAACTCGATGCATAAATCAACCCATGCAATTTTCTGAGTCTAGCTCATTTACCTTATTACTGGTTAGGCGCAACACAAATTTCGCAAGTAATATGAGACCTGCTAGAGAAACTCTACCTACTAAAACCTACTCACTAATCAATGATTAAAGAAATGAAAAATTACAAATTATATGACAAATAATTGATAAGTACAAGTGGTTTCTTACTACACTCTTGATGGATAAAGGTATTTAAAAGCAATTCATTGCTATCTTAGGTACATAGCAATTGAATGCGTTATGGCTTTTTAATTATTTTTTTTTATATCAGGTAACAAGATAATGCCAATGACCTATAGATTAACATGTATATTAAATTCTGAAAGAATATACCTAAAACTTGTCGTATGGTCTCGGCATAGAATAGGCCACCCTTCCTCTCCCGTGGGTGTCAGAAGAGGCGACTAAGGAAATTTAATAGTAGAAGGATAGGCAGCAGCATCCTTCCTAAAATTTTTCTTAAATCCTAACTGCGGTTGCCAACCCACCTGCCAAGGGAAGGCTTATGTTCAGCAGTGAACAGTTATGATGATAGATAGATGATGAATACCAAAAATTTACAAAAAAAAATATGTCTTGTAAAAATTTATTTACAATTTTCTTAAATTGTCCCCAAATTAGAAATGTTTTCTCCAAAATAATACCCAAACTTTTCCGCTGCTGTACAATTTTCACTGCTGCTATTATTTTTATTTTTACATACAAGTACGTTGTTATGAAGTTAACTAGTGCCAAAACTCTAATGAGATTTATCAACAATTCTACATAACATTTCTTTTATAATTTCTCGAATTAGGTGTTCCATTTTTAAAACGTTTTAATGATATAAATTTTACCCAAAATTAGGAATAATGTTCGCGACATTATTTGTATATATCGTAATTTATAGTTGTTAAGTCCTAGTTAATCGTTTTGTATTCTGTTATTTTATATAGATTTACATAGATTTAAGATAGTGTAAGTTAAATAAAGTATTCCTTTGCGTGTTGTCATTATTACCTACGAATAGAAATTGTAACAATAAATAGAATTAAGAAATTGTAAATAAATAAATAGACGCTATAGAGTACCGATCTGAAGAGACACGCGTCTCGTTCATTTTCGCCCCGTCCCGCTCGCACAGATCGCTATCGCGAGTTGGAAACGTTATCGTGCGAGCGGGCGGGTATAAAGATAGGCCGCCTCCCGTCAAGCGGCATTCGCTTCCGGGCAGCGACGCACTACACTCGAGAAGAAATAGGACAAGAAGAAAAAAATACTCTCTTCAGACGGTACCGGAGGCTTCAGAATAGTAATCGCTGTGTTTCACTCCAGCCTGAACCAACGCCCCTACAGTCCACGCTTACCGAACGGCAGTCCACCCCGTTCATCGTGGTCCTTCGAGAAGCCGGATTGCTGGAGGAACATCGTGGTCCTTCGAGAAGCCGGATTGCTGGAGGAACACCGTTGGTCCTTCGAGAAGCCGGATCGCTGGAGGAAGACCATTCTGAAGCCGGATCGCTGAAATGCCGACTACGAGAAACATGAAGTCGTCGCAACAAAAAATCGCCGTCACCGAAGCCACAACGTCCGCCGCCACCACGTCGACTACGGCCGCCGGAACGCTGTCCGTCGCTGCCACGCCGTCCGTTGCTGCCACCACGTCGTCTGCGGCTGTCAGAATGTCATCTGTCGCTGCCACGTCGTCTACCGCCGCCACCACATCGACTACGAATACGTCCGGCGATACGACGACCACAGGAGCCACGGAGACTACCGAAGCCACAGGAACGACAGAGGAGACAGCAAGGAAGAAGGAACCGAAGCACGGCACGGCACGCACGGTTCGCACCACGGCCTCACAGAAGAAGAAGGCTCTGGCCAAGGCACGGGAGGAGCTACTTCGAAAGGAGGTGGAATTGGCTGCTGCACGTGTCGCCGCCCTGGAAGCCGAATCAGAGGACGACGAGGAAATAGAAGACGACGACGCTACCGTCAGAAGAGAACGAACGTCGGATTGGGTTCATCGAAGCACGCTGGCACTCACGATGGAGCCGCATGTACCAGAGATAGAAGAAGTCACCGGCAAGCGTCAGGGGTTCGTCCCATCGAGACCCGTTGAAGAGGATTCGAGAGCGCCGCCGCCACAGCCGAGCAGCGACGCACTTCACCGGGACCACGCACGCCACGTTGACCCGCATGCCGCCATGCCTACGATAGCAGCAGCGATGCAGTCGATGAAGAAAGAAGAACCGGTGCTGAAGGTGGGCATCGATTGCAATGAGTTTGCGATCGCCATGCAGATGGCCGCTCGCAACATACTGCCCTCCACAGCGTCAAGAGTCACCGAGTTGCCAGTCTTCAATGGATCGTCGAGCGAGTGGTTACCATGGAAGATGGCCTATGAAGAAAGCGCAAGTCAACTCACAGAACAAGAGAACCTAGCAAGACTGCGCAGAAGCTTGAAGGGGGCCGCAAAGGACGCGGCACGCTCCCTATTCGTCGGGTCTATGACCGCAGAAGAAGTAATGAAGATGTTAGCCGCGAGGTTCGGCCGCCCTGGAGCACTCGTCACAGCCGAACTGAACAAACTCCGCGCGCTACCACGACTCTCGGACAACGCAAGAGACGTCTGCCTCTTCGCAAGCAAAGTGCAGAACGTCGTCGCCACGATACGAGCGCTGAACAAGAGTCACTACCTCTACAATGAAGAAATAGTGAGAAACGTCACAGAGAAGATGCCGTCGGTACTACGCTTCAAGTACTACGATTTCGCCAACGACCAACCGGAGGGACAACCGGACCTCATAACACTCTCTCAGTTCCTGCAAAGGACCGCCGCACGATGTGGAAACTTCGCCCCCGCCGAGGAGATACCGTCCGAAGACCGGCGGGAGTCCGCTCCTAGGAAGACGGCGAAGACATACACGACGCAGGAGAAACCCGCTACACCACCGTGCCCGATGTGTCGACGAGAGGGACACGCTCCATCGGACTGCAAGACGATGAAGGAAGCGGACACATCGGCGAGATGGGAGTTAGCGAAGACTCATAGGCTGTGTTTCCGCTGCCTCAAAGTAAGAAGATTTCGCCACGCCTGCAAGAGCAAGAGATGTGGAGTAGATGAGTGCACGCAGACTCATCACCCTCTGCTGCACACCACGCGACAACAGCCGGAGAATGAAGTAACAACACACGTCGTCGAGGACAAGTCCGCCGCAGTCACCGCATCGGCAAGGGAAAACGACAAGATCGCGTTCCTGAAGATCCTGCCGATACGAGTCACCGGTCCCACGGGAACGTGCGACACCTACGCGCTACTGGACGACGGGTCGACTTGCACCATCATCGAGACGACGGTGGCGGAGCGAATCGGTGCTACGGGTCCCCCCGCACCATTCTACATGGAAGGTGTGGCCGGGGCACGGATCAACGCAGCTCAATCGACGCGTGTTCACTTCAAGATCCACGGGCGGAATTCGCAAGAATACACAGTGGGGGCACGGACGATGGACAGACTGCAGTTATCACCGCAGTCGGTACCACGCAGCGTCATCAAGGGCTGTCCACATCTACAAGACATAGAGAGGGAGTTGGTCTACGAAGAGGGCAAACCGACGGTACTGTTGGGGCAAGACAACTGGCACCTACTGCTGGCCCACAAAGTTAGAAGAGGATCCGACACGCAGCCGGTCGCATCACTCACCGATCTGGGATGGGTACTGCACGGTACGAGTCGCGGCAGGACAAGACAGCAGGTGCACAGAATCAGCCACATAGTGACGACACATGAAGAGGAACAATCGATGGAAGAAATGATGAAGCAACATTTCGCGCTCGAATCGCTGGGAATCGCACCGAAGAGGTCTTACAATGAAGAAGAACGTCGCGCCCTGCGCATTTTAGAAGAGAAAACTCGTCCGTTACCGGCGGGAGGATACGAGACGGGGTTATTATGGAAGAAGGACGACCCTGTGCCGCCGGACAACTATGAATCGGCAATGCGACGTCTCCAACTGGTCGAAAGGAAATTCGACAAAAATGAAGAACAGTGGCCGCGTGAAGATAGTTCGAGCGACGATAGTCAAGCGGAAACGGGAGAAGAACGCGTACACAAGCTACAGAACGCGACGCAGTTGTCTATAGCATTACCCGATCCGTCACGTTTTTCTAATTGGTTGAAACTTGTTCGCAGTTCAGCACGAGTGTTGCAGTTCATCGACCTCCTGCGACCGACCAGTCAACGCTGCACCGCCATCCGAAAGAGAAACAAGAAGAAAGAGAGCGCCGACCCCACTTGGACCCGCACGAAGAAAGTCGATAGAGAGAAGACGAAGATGAAAATCAAGAACAGCAATAGTCCATCTGTGTGTTTCATCCCCATAGACACACACTACCTAGATCGCGCGCGACGGCTATGGATTCGCGCGATACAACAAGAGGCGTTCGGCGACGAAATCGCAGCATTGAAACATGGGAAACAGCTGCCGTCATCCAGTCGACTCATACAGCTGTCAGTCGTCATAGACAACGACGACATTCTGCGACTTCGATCGAGAATAGCAGCCGCCGCCGATCTGTCAGCCGAGCAACGAGAACCCCCATCGTCGACGGAAACCACGCCTGGGTGCGCCTATACATCGCATGGGTGCATCGGAAACTTCACCACGGCGGCTTCGAGATCACCACGAACGAGGTGCGACAACACTTGTGGGTGTTGCGCCTACGACACGCCGTCCGCAGTGAACTGAAGAGGTGTCAGCTGTGCCGCCTACGAAGAGCAAGACCGGCGCAGCCG